GAGCTTGATGATTTGTTCATGTGGCCACAGAGCGGGTCATAGGCGGAGCATAGATTTGAACCCAAGCCCCAGAGTCCATGCCCTTAACGACTATGCTGCGCTGTCATCTACTCATTCACTGTGTAATGTCTATTGTCAACTATGTGTCAACTATGAACTAGGCGTTATTCAAAGCACCAGGGATTTGGAGGTGAACAACCCCACCGTGGGCGGTCTGGTGACCTCTGACTTCAGCAATTTTGACTTACAAAGGAAGGAAACAGGTACAAGTGAGTGATCGTTGGGAGGGTCTATAATTGCACTTTACGGATGGGCCTGAAGGGGCGAGGGGACATGCTGTGCTCAAGGTTGCCCAGCTTAGCTAGGAGTCCAGGACTGTCGAACTCCAGCCCCCCATCTCCACATGCTACGTGTGTCAGTGTGGATTTTTGCAGGATGAGGGGCATATGGGAGGCATTCGATGGAAGTTTCCATCAGCCTCTGCCTGCCCCAGCCCAGGCCCTTGGGGCGGGTTCTGGGCCTCGGACCAGCTTCCATTCTGAGCTGGCAGGGTTGGGTGTCCCTTCCTAACTGCCTGGCAGAAGGGCTGTAACTCAATCCTTCTGCTGCCTTGTGTCCCTTAGGGGACCAAACCATGTGACTGTCCATCAGGGAGAAGCTCAGGCCTGATTTGTGGGGACAGCAGTCGGCATCTGCGGCTCTTAGGCAGGGACAAAGCTGGCCGAGTGAGCTGGTTTCCAACACAGGTGGAGTCCCGTGAACTCCGATCCTGTACGACCCTGGGATGTACGGAAGACAAAGAGCCCTTGATGTGTGGGTCTAGGCCTGTGGGACGCAGCACCTCTAACCATCCACACTTGTGATGTAGCCAACATCCCCCTAGAGGCAGGGCAGGGTGGTTCAGGGCTCGGCCTGGGTCAGCAGGGCCTGGCTCCAATCCCCCCACTTGCAGTGGCCATGTAATGTCTTCCCAAGCCTCAACCTGCTCAGCTGTAAAATAAGGAAACGCTAGTTCCCATCTCACTAAGGCATTGTGAGGAAGAAAGGATGCAGTTAGTGTTTTGTAACAACAGTGTCAGGCCCGAGACCGCACAACCCCAGGGGGCCTCTAGCCGACAGTCCTCTGACACTGGAGAACTAGCCGGGGATGGACCGGTGCCTTCCAGGTGGAGCCTGAGCCCCAGGCCCCGCACATCTGGGTGGCTCTGTTGTTGGAGCCGCCATGGCTTCCATGAAGAAGGCAGCGCCTTCCCTCCCACAGCAGGGTAAGCTGTGCCCAGGGCCTGTCTGCTGATCTGCCCCCATGCCTCCGCTGTTATCTGGGGGCTCCAGATGGCGCTCCTCTAACAGGAGGTTTGTGGGACAGGAAGTTAGCCAGTGACGCTCAGTGCCCTCGCTGGCTGCGTGCGTTGAGCCATGGCCTGTCATTCTCCTCTGACACTTCTTGGGGCTGTTTGGGACTTCGGTAAGAAGTCTGTATTATTTCTTTCTCTGCACACTGGCATTTCCTTATGAGCCCCTAGTATGTGCCCAGACTGAGATGGATTAGGGTGTGAGGTCAGTGCTGCTGAAACGCACGCAGCCCAGGCCTTTGGTGATCACATGCAAGTGAGTAAGTATATGTGGTTAAAAGGTGCCATAGTGATCGAGTAAATGCACAGGCTCAAGGACAGAGAGCAGGGGAGGAGGCAGCCCTGCAGGAGAGGAGGGGGAGGATATCCAGGAACAGGGACCAGCAGAGACAGACAAGTCCCTGAAGCCTAGCATCTCCTCAGCCCCCATCCTGGTCTCCTACCATCTGGGAGCCCCAGCGACTCCTCCCCCATCCCTCTTCACTGTCAAGTGAATTGATCAGTGTTCCAAGCAGAGGAAACAGCTAGTGCAAAGGCCCTGGGCAGGAACAAGCTGGGTGGGTGGATTTCCTGTTTCCTGTGGTTGACATAGCAAAGTACTACAAATTGGGGGACTTAAACAGCAGAAATTTTTTATCTCACAATCTGGAGGCTAGAAGTCTGAGATCAAGGTGTCGACAGAGTTGGTTCCTTCAGAGGGCTGTGAGGGACAAGCTGAGCCAGGCTCCTCTCCTAGCTTCTGGTGTTGCCAGTAATCCCTGGTGTTCCTTGGCTTGTGGAGGAATCACCCCGATCGGTGCCTTCATCTTCACGTGGTGTCCCTGTGTGTGCGTCTGTGTCCACATTTCCCCTTTTATAAGGACACCAGTCATATCGGACTAAGGGCCCACCCTACTCCAGTATGACCTCATCTTAACTAATTACATCTGCAACAACCCTGTTTTCAAATAAGGTCATGTTTAGAGGTCCTGGGGGGTTAGGCTTTCAACACATGAGTTTTATTGTTGGTGGGGGCACCAGTCGACTCATAACAATGTGTTCTAGAAATAGCAAGGCTGTTGTGTCCAGGGCAGAAGAAGCAGGCTAGGGTGGGAGAGGGCTGGTGGGACAGGTCTCCCAGGGCCTGGCAGGCCACAGGATAGAGTGTGGGGTTTGTTCTGTGTGTGTCCTTTATCTGGAGAGCAGGAGAGAGACTGAACAGTCCGTGGAAGTGGAGAAGCTTGGGGGCAGTGTGACCACTGCCTGGCAGGAGCTGAAGGACTGAGGGTAGAGAAAGAAATCATGACCACACAGCCCCAGGGGAAAAGTCTGGCTCTGTTTCCGAGCTGCCTGGGAGAACAAGCCCTGCTGCTGAGCAAGGGGTTTTGGAGGGAGTGAAAGCTGAGCCAGCCTGGGAGTCAAATCCAGGTTCACCCTTTTGCACTGTGTGAGCTTGGGTAAGTTACTTAGCCTCCCTGGGCCCGCTTCCTCACTGTCAAGTGAGGATGCCATGCAGAGGATTAAACAGAACAACACACACAGCTGGAAGAGCAGAGTCAAGGCTTGATGAAGGCCAACTGCTCTTAAGATACAATCTGGGTGATGTCCTCATATTACAGATGAGGAAACAGTCTCAGAGAGGGCAAGTGACTTGCCCAAGGTCACCCGGTGAGAAAGTAGCAGAGACTCAAACTGAACCTGACTAATTCTGAAACATGTACCCCTTTCCCTCTTTATACTTTCTTTAAAATATATATATGCTTTTATTTTATTTTGTTTATTTATTTTAATCCTCACCTGAGGATATTTTTCTATTTATCTTCAGACAGATTGGGAGGGAAGAAGAGAGGGAGGGAGAGACAGAGACAGAGAGACAGAAGGAGAAACATCCACATGAGAGGAACACGTCCATTGGTTGCCTCCCACAGGACCCCGACCAGGGCCCGGGACGAACTGCAGCCAAGGTACGTGCCCTTGACTGGAATTGAACCCTTGACTCTTTGGTCCATGGGCCAATGCTCTAATGCTAAGCCAAACTGGCCAGGGCAAAAATATGTTTTTATTGATGTCAGAGAGAGGAAAGGAGAGAGAGATAGAAACAATGATGAAGCTGCCCCCCACGTGCCCCCTACTGGGAATTGAACCCCCCAACTCGGTCATGTGCCCTGATGGGGAATTGAACCTGTGATTTCCTGGTGCATGGGTCAACGCTCAACCACTGAGTCACACCAGCTGGGCTCCCTCCTTATACTTTCAAAACACGTCAGCATCCATCTGCCCATTACAGAGGAGGGGCGGAGCTGGCTGCCCTGGCTCCCTCCTGCATTTGATGCCAGCAGAGTGCCCCCAAAGGGCTGGGAAGGCGCTGTGCTCCAGTCTTGCAAACCTGTACTGTGCCACCATTTGGTTTGAGTCCTGTTGTCTGGAGAAGGAAAACGCTGGGTGCCTGCAAAGTGCCAGGCTCTACATGAGATAGTCAACCTGGTTTTGTCTTCAGGGACACTCATTTTCCAGATAATAAAACACACTTAGAGAAAGCAAGGGACTTGCCTCTCTGCTGGGAGGAGGCAGAACACCAACCCTCATCCACTTTGCTGTGAGGCTCCCTCCTCAGTGGGGAAATGCCTTAATTTGAAGGAGGGTTGGGGGGCCTCCCTTGCCAACCCTCAGGGCGCAGACCCCTGTCTGGGAGCCCCATGGTGCACCCCCCTCCCACCCCAGCCGGGGACCAGCGTTCCCTATTCTAACGCTGGTGTTTGAACAAAGCAACCAGCTTTGACACATGGTGGGAGGCAGCCCTATCCTCCTGACCCTGGAGGAGGACGCGCTGGTGTGGTCTTGTGGGGCTGGGATAACACCAAGGGCACCAGGCACGGTTTCATCCCCCCGCCCCCCCCTGCCACTGCCAGTCAGAGCTGGGTGGGTGCCGCCTTTCCACTGGGAGGGATGGGGGTGGAAGTGTGTGTCCTCAGATGCCGGCGCTATATTTGGAGCTCGCTTTGATTCTGATTCCAGGGCATGCGGGCTGCGACAGGCACTTGGAGCAGACCCTGCTTGAACGCCGCCAGCCACGAACGCCCGCACGCCCCCTAGTGGCTCTAGCTCTGGTACTTCTGCAACAGGGCACGGACTTTCCACATCCCATTTGGATGCCCTTTCTTCCTCTTAGCTGCCTACCTGCTCTGGCTAGAACCTCAGGAGGTTGAATAGAAGCGGCCAGCGCAGACAGCCTTGCCTCGTTCTTGCTCTGGGGGCCAGGTGTTCAGTCCGTCACCACTGAGTGCGAGGTTGGCTGTGGTTTTCTGGGATGCCCTTTACCAGGCCGTGGAAGTTCCCTTCCTCCTGGCTTGTTGAGTTTTTACCATGAATTGGTGTTGGATTTTGTTCAAATCGTTTCCCTTGAAAGATGCTTTCTTTTGAAATGTCCCGGGCAAATCCACTCTTTCTTCTGAGAGTGAAAGCTCAAATGTACAGCCAAGAAGTGACCTGCCAAGTCACTGCGTGGGCAAATGGTCTCGTTGGTAAAACAGCAGTGGTCACTGCGCTTCCCAGCGGCCAGGAGTGTCTGTCTCACTCTCCATAGCCCCCGTTAATGAGAAATGAGAGGACATTCCAGCCGGGGCAGGGGGACCTTGGTCACCCTCTCGCATTCACTCTCCTCTACCCCAGGCCTACGAGAAGCGCTTCCCCACCTGCCCGCAGATCCCTGTCTTCTTGGGCAGCGAGGTCCTGTGCGAGTCCCGCAGCGCGGATGGCGCGGTGCACGTGGTGGAGCGGAGCTGCCGGCTGCGCGTGGAGGCCCCGCGGCTGCTGCGGAAGGTGGAGCCCAGGGGCCGGGAAGCACCGGAGGAGATCGGACAGGGTGGTGGGGGACAGCGAGGAGGGGTACCCGGGGGCCAGGCGGTAGGGCCAGTGTAGGTATGTTGGTGCGGGAAGGGGATTGGGCCATGGGGTCTGGGTCGGGGGGGCCCCCTGGATCCGGAAGGAGCGTGGCTGGGAGGCTGGGCTGGGACTGGGCGGGGAGTGGGGGCCCGCCGAGCAGGGTCCCGGAATGGGGGTTGGGGGATGGAGTCAAGGATTCCGGCCCAGCCTGGGCAGTCACGGGGCGGGGATCCTGGGGTCCGGGGTGACGGGCCAGCCCTCGGGGTTCGCGCTCCCACCTCTCACCCTCTGCACGCCCCGCTGCCCCTTCCCTTGCAGATCGCTGGTGTGGAGCACGTGGTGTTCGTGCAGAGGAACGTCCTGAACTGGAAGGAGAGGACGCTCCACATCGAAGCGCACAACGAGACCTTCGCCAGCCGCGTGGTGGTCCGCGAGAACTGCAGCTACACGGTGAGCGCGGCAGGGGACCGCCGAGCACGGCCACCGCCCTCCCTCCCAGGGCCTGGAGGGACGAGATGCGGCGGCTCCTTACGTCTGCATTTCAGATACACAGCTGATACCCCGCCCCATTTAAGTTTAAGTCGTCTTAAATATTGCTCGAGACATACTAAAATATTATCTTAAATTCAAGTGCGACTGGGCATCCCGCATTCTACTGGCTAAACCTGGCAACTGGCCCCTGTCCCCCATTCTTCTCTCTTTCCGTTCCTGCCTTCATGAAACCCTGCCTCATTTCTGTACCTGGAAAATGGGGTTAGTGATGGTACCTGCCACACAGGTTGTGGTGAAGATTAAAGGAAGTAAAATATCCAAACCTCTTAGACCAGTGCCTGGCATATACTAAGTCCTGTATATGTGTTACCTTTTTTGTTTTTTTCAGTCCTCACCAGAGGATATTTTTCCATTGATTTTCAGATAGAGTGTGAGGGAGGGAGGGAGGGAGGGAGGGAGGGAGAGAGAAACATCGATGTGAGAGAGACACATCAATTGGTTGCCTCCTGCATGAACCCCCACCAGGGCCAGGGATTGAACCTGCAACCCAGGTATGTGCCCTTGACCCTTTGGTTGGAGGGCTGACACTCTAACCGCTGAGCCACACTGGCCAGGGCATGTGTTACCTTTTAACATAATTAAAGATAATTATTATTATTCTCCAGTACATATTGATTGAGCACCTACTATGTGTCAGGCACACTGACAGGTGGACCAATTGGCCTGACCATTGTCCTCCTGGAACTTCCATTCCAGTGGGAGACACAGGCCAGAAAATAAGCCCAAACAAATCGTTATAGACATAACTTTGTCACACATGCTAAGAAGGGATCAAGCAGATAGAATTGTGGAAGCTAAGAGGAGGGTGCTGTCTTAGGTAACAGTGTCCCTGGGGCTTCCCTGTGGAGGTGTCATTGAAGCTGGGAGCTGAAGGGTGAGAGGACTGGGAAATGAGTTCTGGGTGAGGGAACAGCAGGTGGATGGGCCCACGTGGGAGCCACTGAGCCACACCGGCCAGGGCTACATATAATTTTTAAGGGACAGGAACGCAGATATCAGATCCACTTTCTTCCAGCCGCTGCTGAGAAGGTTCTTTGTTCTCTAATATTCTGGACCTTGTGTTGCACTCGGGGCGGGGCCCTTGTACTGCTGACCCTCTCAAGTGCGGCCAGCTGTGAAAGGGCTGTGCCCCGCATGCTCTAGCTGGGCCCAGGTCACCAAGAGAGCCCCGGGGGAGGGCAAGGTGTCTCCCATCCTGAGACTGTGTCATCACCCCTGCTTTGCTTTCAGGTCCACCCTGAGAATGAAGAGTGGACTTGCTTTGAGCAGTCCGCCTCACTGGACATCCGGTCCTTCTTTGGCTTTGAAAGTGCCTTGGAGAAGATTGCCATGAAGCAGTACACGGCCAATGTCAAGAGGGTAAGAGAGGGGCGCCGTCGGTCACAGGGAGCAAAGTGCACAGACCTCGGGGGCTGCCAGCCCTGGTTCAACCCCTGTCACCTGACAACCCATGTGACATCAGGCAAGATCCTTAACCTTCCTCATCTGTACAATGGGTATTCTAACAATGGCCATATTACAGGAGACGATGGATGGGCAGCAAGCCTGTAATGGGGGCACCATAATCACTGCCCTGATTATTCCCAGGCTTGTGTGTGAACTCTGTGGACATGGAAGGGACATTGCGTGGTGCTTTTTCCTGGTTAAAATGATCCTTGCTTGGTTTACCATTTTTTTTTTTTTTTATCCTCACCCGAGGACATTTTTGCATTTTTTGTTCAGACAGAGCGGGAGGGAGAGAGAGGAAGAGAGAGAGAGAGAGAAACATCGATGTGAAGGGACACATCGAGTGGTTGCCACCCGCACGACCAACCAGGGCCGGGGACAAACTGCAACCGAGGTACGTGCCCTTAGCGGGAACCGAACCCGGGTCTCTCCGGACCGCAGGCCGACGCTCTAACCGCTGAGCCAAACCGGCCAGGGAGATCCTTGCTTGGTTTAAAGATCTCACATGCATCACTGAGTAGAGGCCTTTAAGTGTAATGAAACAGATGAAATCCATTTTAATAATATATTTTGTCCAATGTGTTATCAATATAAAACTTATCTGGGAACTATTTTACATTCTTCATTTGGTACCAACTCTCACAAATCCGTTGCATTTTTAACATTCACAGAACATTTCCATTTGGCCTGGCCGCATTTCAACTGCTCAGTAGCCACGTGTCAGGGCTGGGACCAGGGCCAGGTGAGGGTGACTCCCAGGCTGGCACGGTTACCCCACTGTCCTGCCTCTGCACTGATGTGTCTTGGTTTTCTCTGGCTTCCAGGGGAAGGAGGTGATCGAGCATTACCTGAATGAGCTCCTCTCTCAGGGCATCTCTCACATTCCCCGGTGGACACCTGCCCCGGTCAGAGAGGAAGACGCCTGCTCCCAGGCTGGGCTGGGAGATCCTAGCTTGCTGGAGGTCAATGCACTCAGAAGCACCCAGGGTTCCGCTCAAGAGATGGTTGGTACTGACGGTAGGTGACTGTGGCTGAGGCCCAGAGTCCTAGGAGCTCTACATGGGGTTTGCTCACTCTGTGGGGACAGAATTGCCATGGATCCCCTCAGGGACAGGTCTGGGTCCTGGAATGACTCAGCCTCTTCCCTCTTAGTGATACTTTGCTCTCTCTCTCTTCGAGCCCAAGAGCCAGAACTGGTTTATTTCTAGATCCAGAATTGACCTGATCTGGTGCCTTAGGGCTCCCCTTTTCTCTGGTTTAATTACTATTTTAGATTATATGAGTAATGTATGATCATGGTGGGAAAATATTTAAATTTCTCAGAAGATGTCATGTAGGAAGTAAGACTCCTTTGCTCTCCTTGGAAGCAACAATAGTTTTGTGTTTACGAAACTATCTAGGCATCTATACATACATAATATGTACATACATACATACATGCATGTATAACCTACATTGAACACATGACAGCATATTATACATTCTATTTGATACTTTGTTTTTGTCATTTACTAATGTTTCTTGAACAGCTTTCTGTATCAGAGCATGTGTCTTGGTACTTTACAGTATTTCATGGTGTGGTTATATCATGACTTATTTATTATTAAACATTTATTGGTTATTACCATTATTTTTTAAAAATCTTCACCCAAGGATGTATCTTTATAGAGAGAGAAGAAGGGAGAGAGAGAGAGAGAGAGAGAGAGAGAGAGAGAGAGAGAGAAACATTGATGTGAGAGTGAAACATCAATCAGTTGCCTCCCATTCACACCAGACCTGTGATCAAACCCACAGCCTGGGTATGTACCCTGATCAGGAATTCAACCTGTCACCTTTCAGTATGTGGGATGACATTCCAACCAACTGAGCCACATAAGCCAGGGCTGATTTATTTAAATTTTTAAAAATCCTTATTTGAGGATATTTTTCCATTGATTTTTGGATGGAGTGAAAGGGAGGGAGAGAGAGAGAGAGAGAGAGAGAGAGAGAGATCAATGGGAGAGAGACACATTGATTGGTTGCCTTCCGCACGACCCCTACTGGGTCCAGGCATCAAACCTGCAACCAGGTGTGTGCCCTTGACTGGGGAATTGAACCCAAGACACTTCAAGCCAAACCGGCCAGGGCAGTACTGATTACTACTATTATTATTTAATCCTCACCTGAGGATATTTTTCTATTTATCTTCGGATACAGTGGGAGGGAAGGAGAGAGAGGAAGAGAGAGAAACATCTACATGAAAGGAACACATCGACTTGTTGCTTCCCAAATGACCCTGACCAGGGCCAGAATGAACTGCAATAGAGGTACGTGCCCTTGGCTGCAATTGAACCTGTGACTCATGGGTCTGCGGGCCGATGCTCTAACTGTTGAGCCAAACCGGCCAGGTTTGGGCTGATTTAAAAAAATTTTTTTTTCTTTATTGATTTTTAGAGAGCGTGGGAGAGAGATAGAGAGATAGAAACATTGATGAAAGAGAACATCAATTGGCTGCCTCCTGCATGCCCCCCACTGGGGATCAGGCCCACAACCTGGGCATGTGTCCTGACCCGGAATCAACCAGAGACCTCATGGTGCATGGGTCGACGCTCACTGAGCCACACTGGCTGGGCTGATTATTTTTAATTAGTTTATTTAGCTAGTTCCCACTGAGGTATATTTAGGTTATTTCCATTGAAAAAAAAAAACAAATCATGTGGTATATCTTTGGTTTTGTTTTGTTTTTTTTAATCCTCACACGAGGACATTTTTCCATTTTTTGTTCAGATAGAGCAGGAGGGAGAGAGAGGAAGAGAGAGAGAGAGAAACATCGATGTGAAGGGACACATCGAGTGGCTGCCACCCGCACGACCAACCAGGGCCGGGGACAAACTGCAACCGAGGTATGTGCCCTTAACGGGAACCGAACCCGGGTCTCTCTGTACCGCAGGCTGACACTCCAACCGAGCCAAACCGGCCAGGGCTGTATCTTTGTTTTTAAAAAAATATTTGCATGAGTATATACATAGCATATAATTCAAAAAGTTGAATTGATGAGTCACATAACTGTGACATTTTGGTCAATTTACCAATTAGGTGGGCAAAGAGGTTGTACTAGACAATGTTCCCACCAAAAGTGTGTCGTTATGCCTATTCCTGACTTCACCTCAGCTTCTCACAAGACTATTTTTTTTTTTTTTTATTTTTTTATTTTTTTAGTCCTCACCCGAGGACATTTTTTGATATTTTGTTCAGATGGAGTGGGAGGGGGGGGGGGGGAGAGAGAGAGAGAGAGAGAGAGAGAGAGAGGGAAACATCGATGTGAAAGGGACACATCGAGTGGTTGCCACCCGCACGACCAACCAGGGCCGGGGACAAACTGCAACCGAGGTACATGCCCTTAGCGGGAACCGAACCCAGGTCTCTCCGGACCGCAGGCCAACGCTCTAACCGCTGAGCCAAACTGGCCAGGGCTCACAAGACTATTATTGAACATTTTAAACTCCTGAAAGGCAAAGATAGTCCACTAGTCAGTTAGCGATCACTTCTTTCCTATGAGTGAGGTCAAGTATTATTTTTTCATGTTTAGTGACTACTTAACTTTTTTGTGAATTCCTGTTCATATTCTTTGTTTGTTTTCCTATTTGCCCATTAATTTCTTGCTCTTTACATATTAAGGCAATTAGCTCTTTGTCATTTTTTATACTTTTATTGACATAGAAAATGCTCACAATATGATATTAAAGGAAAAAAAAAACCTAGGCTATAAAACTACATGTACCCCTTGAATCCAGTGTTAGCCACGTGTAATTGTGCTCCTGACACTGCGGTGTCTCCTTAGGGCTTGCCTGACTTACAGAAACACCATGTAATCAAAAACACATCTGGGGCTGTGTTTAGGGAGAACACGATTCATTTGTTTAACAAATATTTTATCTGGTCCTGGCTGATTTGGCTCAGCGGTTAGTTAGAGCACTGGCCTGCGGACCAAAGTGTCTTGGGTTTGATTCCGGTCAAGGAAATGTATCTGGGTTGCAGGTTTGATCCCTGGCCTGGTTGAGGTTGTGTGGGAAGCCACCAGTCGCTGTGTCTCTCACAATGATGTTTCTCTTTCTCCCTCCCTCCCTTCCACTCTCTCTAAAAATCAACGGGAAAAAAATATCCTTGGGTGAGGAGTAACAAGAAGAACAACAAAAATATATTCTGCACCAACTGTGTGTACTAGCTGGCTACTATTGTACAGGCATTTTGAAATATTTTTAAAAATTGTTTCACAACACTGCTCTTCCTGTGCACACACTCTGCAGGGCATGCCCTCTGTGGAGGCCTCTCCTCCCTTCTTCGTCTGTGCTGTCCATAGCAGGGCTGGTGCTCAGGATGGCTGGTGGAAGTCACAGTCATGCCCTTTCCACCCTGCTCTGAATCACTGAGCCTTTGTGTTCAGGAGAAAGGGGCCTTCACAGCTGCCTGGAGAAGAATGCTGGTATCTCCTGCCTCCCTTGTGTTTTCTCCCTCAGCTCTTCCTTGCCCTGCCCCTCCTCAATAGGCCCCCTTACCAGCATCCAACATCTCTGTTTTTTATCTCTCTGTGGGTATTTTGGGGTCTGGACAGCCCCCCCCCTCCAGCATCCCTCCTGCCTCTGGTTACCCAGATGTCTTCCAGAGCAGATGGCATGACCCCCAGCCCTGGGCTTTGTTTTGGAAGGAACCACTGGGTCCTGCTGCTGGGTGTGCAGATATTCCATTGGTTTTCTTATTGTGCCACAGCTCACAAAATGAGCTAGGTCCATGGGGCTGCTCCTCGTAGAGTGTCTCTATCCACTGCTGAGAGGCTAACCCACTGAGATGGCTCACCGTGCTGGTACCTGCCACCCCAACAGCTAAGAGTGGGCCACAGGGCCTCAGGTTGGAGCCCAGACTCTAGATGCCTGCACATGCTGAGCCCAACAGCCCGACTGTGTGAGATGGGATTGAATAGTGGAAATGATCTGTGGAGCTATGGGCTATATCTGGGGGTCAGGGCTCTGTCTACCAAAAGCCTCACACCCCACAAGGGACCTGGGGCGGTGGGAAGGCAAAGGAAACTGGTATTTATTAACCGTCTCTTATGCTGGGCACACTACATGAATTTACTCATTTGAGTATACTTGTCCTCTTTCAGTATCAGTTTTATCTTCTCTTCAGAGAAGAGAACAATAGTGGGAACAATAGTGATGCCTGCCTCACAGGGGTTGTTGGGAGAATTCACTGAGATGATGCATGTCATATTGTTAATAATCTTTACTCCAATGACAGATGATTAGAAGGAGAAATTAAGAAACCAATCCTATTTACAATTGCATTAAAGAGCATTAACTACCTAGGAATAAATTTAACCAAAGAGGTGAAAGACCTGTACTCTATAAGAAAATTGTAAGACACTGAAGAAAGAAATTGAAGATATAGATAAATGGAAGGATATACCTTGCTCATGGATTGGAAGGATTGATACTGTTAAAATGTCCTTATTATCTAAAGCAATATACAGATACAATGCAATCCCTATTAAAATATCAATGGCCTTCTTCTCAGAATTAGAACAACTAATCTTAAACTTTATATGAAACTACGAAAGACCCAAATAGCCAAATAAATTTTGAGAAAGAATAAAGTGGGAGGTATCATGTGCCCTGACATGAAACTATTGTATAAAGCTATAATAATCAAAACAGTATGACACTTTCATAAAAACAGACATATAGATCAATGGAATAGAGTGGAGAGCCCAGAAGTAAATCCTTGCTCATATGGTCAATTAATCTACAACAAAGGAGGGAAAGATATACAATAGGTAAAGACAGTCTCTTCAATAAGTGGTGTTGGGAAAACCATACAGGTACATGCAAAAAATGACATTGGACTACTTTCTTAGACCATACACAAAAATAAACTAAAAATGGATTAATAACTTAAATGTAAGACTTGAAACCATAACAATTCTAGAAGAAAACATAGGCAGTAAACTTTTTGACATCACTTTTAGTAATATGTTTCTGTATAGATCTCCTCCAGCAAGGGAAACAAAAGAAAAAATAAACAAATGGGATTTACATCAAACTAAAAAGTTTTGCACAGCAAAAATCCATCAACAAAGCAACATACTGAATGTGAGAACATATTCACAAATGACACATCTGATAAGAGGTTAATATCCCACATAAGGAATTTATACAACTTAACACCAAAAAACCCCAAACAATCCTATTAAAAAATTGGCAGAGGGCCTGAATAGACAGTTCTCCAAAAATGACATACAGATAGCCAGTAGACAGATAAAAAGATGCTCAACATCACTAACCATCAAGGAAATGCAAATTAAAACCACAATGAGATGTCACCTCACCTCTGTCAGAATGACTACCATCAATAAGTCAATAAACAACAAGTGTTGGTGAGGATGTGGAGAAAAAGAAACCCTCCCTCATGCTCTGTTGGTGGGATTGCACATTGGTGCAGCTACTATGGAAAACAGTATGGATGTTCCTCAAAAAATTAAAAGTAGAACTATCATATAACCCAGCAATTCTTCTTCTGAGTATTTATCTGAAGGAAAAAACTCACTAACTTAAAAAGATATATGTGTACCCATGTTCATTGCAGCATTACTAGTAATAGCCAAGATATGGAAGCAACCTAAGTGTCTACTGATAGACAAATAGATAAAGATGTGATACATATATACAGTGGAATATTATTCAGCAATAAAAAGAATGAAATCTGCCCTGGCTGGTTTGGCTCAGCAGTTAGAGTATCATCCTGTGGGCCAGAGAGTCCCAGGTTTGGTTTCCACTTGGGGCACGTACCTTGGTTGCAGTTTGTCCCTGGCCCTGGTTGGGGTCGTGTGGGTGGCAACCACTCGATATGTCTCTGTCACATCGATGTTTCTCTCTCTCTTCCTTCCGCTCTCCCTCCCACTCTTTCTAAAGATAAAATGTAAAAATGTCCTCAGGTGAGAATAAAAAAAAAATGAAAAAAATGAAATCTTCTCATTTACAACTACATGGATGGATCTAGAGGGGTATTATGCTAAGTGAAAAAAGTCAGACAGAAAAAAATGTGATTTCACTTATATGTGGAATCTAAAACAAAACAAATGAGTAAATAAAACACAATAGTCCCTGGTCAGTTTGGCTCAGTGGTTAGAACATTGGCCCTCAGACCAAAGAGTTGTAGGTTCAATTCTAATCAAGGGTATGTAATTTGGTTGCAGTTCGATTCCAGGCCCCAGTTGGGGTCATGCAGGAGGCAACCAGTTGATGTGTCTCTCTCACATCAATGTTTCTCTCTCTCTCTTCCACTCTACCTGAAGATAAATAGAAAAATATCCTCAGGTAAGGATTAAAAAAAGAAAACATAAACAAACAAACAAAAACCACAATAGAAACAGACCCATAGATACAGAGAACAAGCTGATGCTTGCCAAAGGGGAGGGGGTGGGGTGATGGAAAAAAATATTCAGAGGCTGGGACAGCTCCAGAAGGTGGGGATTATTCCCATTTCCAAAGGTCAAAGGGGACATATCACTTGCCATTGTGAGATCCAGGCTTGTCCCAGCATGACTTTCAGAACCACCCTGGAAATGGATTGGAAAGTCTAGAGGATCTGGAGCCCATGTGGCTGTCATCTGGTGAAAGGGCTACCATGCGGCTTGGAACTACATTTCAGATCCAAGGTGGCCAGTAAGATATGGGTTCCAGAAAGGGTGGACAAGGTGGTAAAGAGACACAGCATCTCCCTCTTGTCCTGAATCCCCCCTTCTTATCTTGTAGGGGACAAGATTGATACAGACTACATTGAGAAGTGCCTGGGCCATCTCACACCCATGCAGGAGAGCTGCCTGATTCAGCTTCGGCACTGGCTGCAGGAGACACACAAAGGCAAGGTAGGTGGGTGCAGGGCTGGGGCCTGCCGGAGCAGACGCATATTCAGTTATAGCTGTCCAGCCCCGGGCACTGGGGAGGAAGGGCCAGGGATATCAGTTTGTGTAATTAACAATGCAGGATACTTAGACTGCCTTCTTTGCATTACACACTGTCTCATGGGTCTGTAACGCATGTTGCACGCTATCACTGATTTGGCACTGTTGACATTTGAGGCCTGACAATTATGATGGGCTGTTCTGTGTGCTGTAGGGTTTTGAGCAGCATCCCTGACCTCCACTCATTAGATGCCACGAGCTCTTCTCCCCTAGTTGTGACAACCAAAAATGGCTCCAGACTTCATCAAATGTCCCCTGTGGGGCATAGTCACCTCCAATTGATAACCATTGCTGTCACAAAACCATGTACATTGTTCTTTTTAAAAGAGATTAATTATTATGGAGTACAAATTGGCCCTCGCTGGTTTGGCTCAGTGGTTAGAGTGTCGGCCTGTGGACCAATGAGTCTTGGGTTCTATTCCAGCCAAGGGCACATACCTCAGTTGCAGTTCGTACCTGGCCCTGGTTGGGGTTGTGCGGGAGGCAATAAGTCGATGTGCCCCTCTCACATCGATGTTTCTTTCTCTCTCTCTCTCTCTCCCTCCTTCTCATTCTATCTGATGATAAATAGAAAGAAAAAAAAAAGATATCTTCAGGTGAGGATACAAAAAAAAAAAGAAGTACAAATTGGTTGTTAGACTGATGAACCTCAAAGGGAAGAGGGCGGGATGAGATAAACCAAAGAACTTCTATGCATAACCAATGGACACAGACTGTAGTGTGGGGAAGGCAGGAGGGGGACAGGATTGGGGAGGAGGGGGTCAATGGGAGAAAAGGGGAGGCATCTGTAATATATTCAACAATAAAGATAAGTTAAAAATAAAAATAAAAGATTAATAACTTGCAAGGGTTGATTTTTTTTGATGGCATGAGTATTTTGCCTTTAGCCTCTAAGTGCCATCCCATGAAGGTCCACATGCATTTGGGTCCCAAGCATGGACTTGACATTCAACTCCATTGAATAAGAACTTCCTGCTTAGTCATGCTGGTCTTTCTCCCCACTTTGGGGAGCAGACAAGGGAGTCAGTGTTGGGCTGTGATGTAACCCGTTGGCCCCCGTTTCCTCATCTGTAAAATGGGGATAATGTTAGCATTCACTTCCCAGAACGAATGATGGGAATCTGTCTGCCTCAGAATGCGCACCCAGTGAAGGGTGCTTCTGTTGGGGCTGGATTTTCCTTGATTGTCGATATTTGCCAGAGGGAAGAAAGGAGAGCTGGTGGGGTCTTTGTTTGTCATCTCAGCGATCAGTTAGACTCTTTGGGTTATTTGTGGCAGGTATGCAGCTTGAACAACAAGGCACAAAAAAAAAAAAGTGGGGGGATTATATATTGGCTCATATAACAAACTGTTAAGAGGGGTGTGTTCATTTCCTGGGGCTGCTGAAACAATGCCACGAAATGGGTCACTTAACACAACAGAAATTTATTCTCTCCCAGTTCTGGTGGCCAGATGTCTGAGATCAAGGTGAGAGCAGGGTTGGTTCCTTCTGGAAGCTCTGGGGAGAATCTGTTCTCTCTCTCCTGGATTCTGGAAGCTACTAGCAGTCCTTGGCTTGTGGATGCATATGGTCCTTTGCCCAGCTAAATATTTTTAGATGAGACAGGAGATTCATTTTCCATAATTTTATCTCCTGGGTTAGAGAATGCCATTCTCTGAGTTGCTCCTCCTTCTCTCAGATTCCCAAAGATCAGCACATCCTTCGGTTCCTGCGGGCTCGTGATTTCCACCTGGACAAGGCCCGGGAGATGCTGTGCCAGTCCTTGAGCTGGAGAAAGCAGCACCAGGTGGATCTTCTCCTTCAGACCTGGCACCCCCCGGCCCTCCTGGAAGAGTTCTACGCGGGCGGCTGGCACTACCAGGACACAGGTGCGTTCCTTGACCTACAAAGCGTATAGTGCACGCTTTGGTCACTGCCGAATGCATTGTGAGTACCACTTTTCATGCTTCTTATTTTTCCTTTGGACTTTTCTGGGTATCTGGAGATGCCAACCCAGCCATGAAGATGGCAGAGCTAGGTTTGAGGCAAATAGTGTCCGGGGGCTGCCAGAACAAATAACCTCAGACTGGGTGGCTTAAAACAACAGAAATTTAGTCTGGCTGGTGTGGCTCAGTGGTTGAGCATCGACCCATGCACCAAGAGGTCGCCGGTTCGATTCCCAGTCAGGACACATGCCCAGGTTGTGGGCCAGATCCCCAGTGTGGGGCATGCAGGAGGTGGCTAATTGATGTTCTCTCTCATCGATGTTTCTCTCTCTCTCCCTCTCATTTCCTCTCTCTCTGAAATCAATAAAGGACAAAATAAATAAATAAAACAACAGAAGTTTATTCTCTCCCAGTTCTGGAGGCTAGAAGTCTGAAATCAAGGTGACAGCAGGCTGTGATCCCTCTGCAGGCCCCAGCGGAGACTCCGTCCTTATCTCTTAGAACTTCTGGTGGCCCCAGGTGTTGCTTGGCTTGGCAGTGTAACTCCAGTCTCTGCCTCTGTCGTCATATGGTCTTCTCTCTGTGCATCCTCTGTGTCCTCTCCTCTTATAAAGACCCCCAGTCATTGGATGTAGGACCCACACTGATCCAGGGTGTTCTCATCTCGATCCTTAACTAATTACATCTGCAAAGACCCTGCTTTCAAATAAGGCCGCATTATGAAGTTATGGGTGGACATGAATTTTGGGGGGATATTATATAACCCACTATAAATATCTTTGGATTTTCAAAATTGAACTGCCATTGAAGCCAGTGACTATTATGATTTTCAATGCTCTTTATATAAAAATTCATATACATTTGACCCTTGAACAGTATGGGGGTTAGAGGCGCCAACCCCCTCATGCAGTTGAAAGTCCATGTACACATTTAAAAAAAAAATATTTCGCCCTGGCCGGTTTGGCTCAGCGGGTAGAGCGTCGGCCTGTGGTCCTGAGAGACCCGGGTTCGGTTCCCGCTAAGGGCGCGTACCTTGGTTGCAGTTTGTCCCCGGCCCTGGTCGCTTGTGCGGGTGGCAACCACTCGATGTGTTCCTTTCACGTCGATGTTTCTCTCTCTCTCTCTGTTCCTCTCTCTCCCTCCCACTCTACCTGAACAAAGAAAGGAGGAATGTCCTCTGGTGAGGATTAAAAAAAAAAAAAAAATTTCTTTTAATTGATTTGAGAGAGAGGAAAGGAGAACAGAGAGAAACATCGATGAGCGAGAACATCAACTGGCCGCCTCCTGCATGCCCCCACTGGGGATCGAGTCCACAACCTGGGTATGTGCCCTGACTGAGAATCGAACCAGCGACCTCTTGGTGCATGGATCGACACTCAACCAGTGAACCACACCAGCTGGGCTAACGTTTTTTAAAAAATAAATGTTTTATTGATTTTTTAGAGAGAAAGGGAGAGAGAGATAGAAACATCGATTGGCTGCCTCTTGTACACCCCCTATTGGGGATCGAGCCCACAACCTGGGCATGTGCTCTGACCGGGGGTGGAACTGAGACCTCTCAGTCCATGGGATGATGCTCAGTCCATTGAGCCACACTGGCCAGGCGACGGACGGATGTATACCTTTTGATTCCCCCAAAACTTAACGACAGTTGTCCTTTGGTATCCACAGGGGATTGTTCTAGGACTCCATGAGGATACCAAAATGCACAGATGCTCAAGTCCCTTCTATAAACTGGGCTAGAACAATGCATATAGTTGGCCGTCTGCATCTTCAGATTCCTGATGGTGGACCATTGATCTGCTGTTGGTTGAACCCATCGATATAAAACCCAGGGATATGGAGGGCTGACTGTATATTTATTGGAAAAAATTCACATATAAATGGATCCATGCAGTTCAAACCTTCTTGTTCAAGGGTCAGCTGTGTGTTGATTAGAGCAAATGCTTGACTCTCCTGAAGAACTGGTTGGGACACTGTCTTTTAATATACAGTCGGTCCTTGTTATTCATGTATTGCACAGTTGTGAGTTTGTTTACCCACTAAAGTTTATTTATAGCCCCGAAATCAATACTCAGGAAGCGTTCGTGGTCATTCATGGACATGTGCAGAGTGGCAAAAAGATCCGAGTTGCCCGACCTGCACGTGCCCGGCTGAGGTTGGACGAGACATCTCTCCGCCTTCCTCTTCAGCTCCTGCTGTGAACGGGCGTCCCGTATGCAGTCCACTTAGTGCCACATTTTTTGCATTTTTGTGCTTTTGGTTGTGATTTTGCATTTACAACGGCTCCCAAGCATAGTGCACAAGTGCTGTCTGGTGTTTCTAAGTGCAAGACGTCTGTGATGTGCCTTAAGGAGAAAGTGGGTGTGTTAGATTCATTCAGATATGCCTTATAGTGCTGCTGGCCGGGGGTTCGATGTTACTGAACCAACTATGTACACTAAATGAGGTGGCCTTAAATAGAAACACAGAAAACAAGGTTATGTATTGATCGGTTGATAAAAATGTTATGACTAGAGGCTCTCAGGAACCCAACCCCGTGTTTTTCCTAGAAGCAGTGGGTCCGTATCCCCTAATTCAGTACTCAAGGTGACTTTATAGAACAACTAACGTCAATGACAAGAATTGACTGTATTAGTATATGATTCTTTATTTTCCTTTTGCTTTGGCTGACAAAAACTATTAGCCAACTTTTATCTATTCCATTCTCCTTCATTATGGTTCATCTCCTCTTTTTTCAAGTGTTTAGACTAAACTTTTAATGTTAGAACAGTTTTGGGTTTTCAGAATAGTTGCAAAGATCAGCCCGGCCAGTGTGGCTCAGTGGTTGAATGTCGACCCATGCACCAGGAGGTCGCTGGTTTGATTCTGGGTCAGGGCACATGCCCAGATTGTGGGCCAAATCCCCAGTGGGGGACAGCCAGTCAATGTTCTTTCTCATTGATGTTTCTATCTCTCTTTCCCTCTCCCTTCCTCTCTCTAAAAATCAATACAGAAAAAAAAAGGAATAGTTGCAGAGGTCATACGGAGAGTTCCCTTATGCCCCTCACCCAGTTTCCATTGTGGTGTAAACCGTGTTTAACACGTGTGTTGTTTCTTTCACCATAGCTGGTACTGCCCCCTCTCAGGACCAGGCAGGGGGTCAGTAAATAACGGGCGGACTGGCACCTTCTTCTCCGAGGAGGGTTAGTTCTCGTCCTGGCTCTGACCTGCGCCCTCACCAGCCTTCCCTAAATTGCGTTCCCTCTCTTTGCAAAGACGGCCGCCCCCTGTACATCCTGCGCCTGGGCCACATGGACACCAAAGGCTTGATGAAGGCTGTGGGGGAGGAGGCGCTGCTGCAGCATGTGAGTCGGGGTCCCCATGTCCCGGAGCCTCTAGGGCTGCCTGCAGTGAGCAGCCAAGGGGCTGTTCGCCAGCACCTTCTCTACCTTCCAGGTGCTTTCCGTCAACGAGGAAGGACAGAAGAGGTGTGAAGGGAACACCAAACAGTTTGGCCGTCCCATCAGGCAAGAACCCCGCCAGGGACCAAGTCCCCTGAATAGTAAAAACAGCCCAGGAGCACTGAGCCTGGCGCTCCACAGAAATGTCCTCACATGATTCTCATAATGACCTTGTGAGGCAGGGACTGTGTCAGCCCTGTTCTTTATGGAGGGGGAAAGTGAGGCTCAGAGTACTGATGCTCTCCCAAGCTTGCTAAGCAGGTAAGTGGCAGAGCCAGGGTTTGAACCTGTTCCCATCCGGCTCAGGCTCGTGCCCACCTCCCCACCCCACACTCCGCCGGGACTCTTGTCTCCCAGGCACACAGACTCGCAGCTGTCCCGGCACACCTGGTGACCTACTGTACCTCTGAGCCCCACCCCCCACTTCTATGCCTGAACTCAGTTTCCCACGCTGGTCCTCACAGTGGCGTCGCCCCCAAAGGCACTGACCCTCTCCCCTTCTGTAAAGTGGGAATAGTATCACTCGTTCTAGTGCCTCTTTATGGATTATCAGAAACAATAACTGATACGAGATCATGCAAACATGTCTATGGAACTTACTGTGCAGCAGGTACTCTTCTGAGCACCTTGTTTCATGTCGATCTTATCACGGCCCTAGGGAGGGAGAGCAGGCAGGACCTGCTGCCGAAGCGTTTATCCCAAATTATCCTGATCTTTGTGAAAATTACATTCCTTTGCTGTTTGGTGCTTTCCTAAGGGGACATATACTGGGGTGGGGTGGGGAATCAATCCGTCAGGGTCCTGGCCAGAAGCAGAATCCACTGCAGATGGCTCAGATGACAGGTGTCACAGGGGTACCCAGTGGTATGACAGGGCGAAGGGAACAAAGCTGCAATGGGGAGCCTCCCAGGGAGAGTGCAGCCATAAAATGGTTATTTTCCTAATGAATTAGTACTAATAAAGTGGAGGCCCAGAGAGGTTAAGTAACTTTGTCAAAGCCACACAGCAGGTGGCCAAGCTGGGATTTGAACCCAGGAGTGTATGCTCTATGTCGTCACAGCATCTTTTAACCAATCAGTACTAACAACTAGCTTTCGTGGGGTGGGTGCTCTGTGCCTGTCCTTGCAGTGACCTTACCTACGCCGCCTCATTTAATCCTAACAACAGTTGCTTGAGCAGGGGACTGTTACTGTCATTGCCACAGATGAGGAGGAAGATGCCCATGTCACGCAGCTCTCAAGGGTGAAGGTGACACTTGAACTCGGGTGCTCAGTCTCAGAGTCTATGCTCTGAGCCTCTGCCATGTGGCCTCACCATGGTGGCAGGATCCAGGAGTGTCCTGTGGCCCCTGTCCCTTCTGCTCCCAGCCCTGCCTCACTGAGCCTCTGTCCGTCCTTGTCCACAGCCCCCGGGTCCCTGCGGAGGGTGTTGGGGGCCCTGAGAGATGGCAGAGCAAGGCGGAGTGAGGGGGCTTGTGTCTGCCGCAGCTCCTGGACCTGCCTGGTGGACCTGGAAGGGCTCAACATGCGGCACCTGTGGCGGCCGGGGGTGAAGGCCCTTCTGCGGATGATTGAGGTGGTCGAGGACAACTACCCCGAGACCCTGGGCCGGCTGCTCATCGTGCGCGCCCCCCGTGTCTTCCCTGTGCTGTGGACGCTGGTGAGAGTGGGGGCCTGGGATGGGCGGGGGCCCTCTGTGAGCTGCTCTGCCTGCTTGTCCCATGTCATTTCTCCTGAGTCATACACCACAGAGTTCACCTGTTAAAATGCACAATTCAGTGGTTTTTAGAAAATCCTCAGAGTTGTGCAACCGTTACCTAATTCTAGAGCATTTTCATCACCCCAAAAGGAACCATTAGCCATCATTGCTCTCCCTCCTCTCCCCAGCTCCTAGCAACCATAACCTGCTTTGTGTCTCTATGGATTTACGTATACACACACACACACACACACACACACACACACATAAATGTGTTTTTGTTGGTTTTTTTAGAGAGAAGAAGGGAGAGAGAGATAGAAACACTGATATGAGAAACATCGATCGGCTGCCTCCTGCATGCCCCCTACCAGGATGCAACCAGGGCGTGTGCCCTGAACGGGAATTGAACTGGGACCTCTTAGTCCATGGGACAACCCTCCATCCACTGAGCCACACCGGCCAGGCCGTATTCTAGGTATTTCATATAAATGGAATCGAACAGTATGAGGTTTTTTGCGTCGGATTTCTTGCACTTAGCATAATGATTTCAGGTTCATCCATAGTGTAGCATATTTCAGTACTTCATTTCTTTCTTTGTCTGAATAATATTCCACTGTATGGACAGAGCACATTTTATGTATCCTGCTTCGTGGACACCAGAGGCACACTCAGAATTGTACAGGCTTCCCAGACTCCCATGAGCTGGTTCCGAGGGGTGCTGGGGTCTTGTGCTATAGGGCTATTAAGACATTTGCCCATGACCTGCAGTAAGAAATACACTTTATGTCACAACACTGCACATGCATGTGTACACACACACACACACACACACACGGGTTAGTCATAATGTGCTAACATTTTTTTTTCTCTTCACCCGAGGACATTTTTTCCCATTTTTTCTTCCTCTCTCTCCCTCCCACTCTATCTGAACAAAAAATGGAAAAAAATGTTCTTGGGTGAGGATAAAAAAAAAAAAGCTATAATGTCTTGTTTGTTTTTTGCTTTTTTAAGAAAGAGTGGAAGGAAGGGAGGGAGAGAGAGACACATCCATTGGTTGCCTCCCCCATGACCCTGACCCGGGCCAGGATCAAACCTGCAACCCAGGCCCTCGACTGGGAATCGAACCTGAGACCCTTCGGTCCATAGGCCGATGCTCTAACTGCTGAGCCAAACCGGCCAGGGCCATGATGTGCTAAATTAATTGCACAACCCTGACAAATTGTCACTTGCAGTTGAAAACCACTGTCCTGAGGCCCCTCCCAATCCTACAAACTCAGAGTTAGCATCTTACCCAGTGCCAGGTGTGTGTGTGTGTGTGTGTGTGTGTGTGTGTGTGTTTTCAGTTTCCACAAAGGCCCGAGAAACGCTGCTGTAAGTAGAGGTTTGATCAGGATAGAGATTTAAGAGTTGAAAGTTAAATGGACTCAGGGTTTAACTAAGCACCTACTGTGTGCCAGGCTCGTCTTCCAGGCCCTGAGGATTCAGAGAGCACAGGCCAGCCGCTGTGTCCCGTCCGTATCACGGGGTGAGGAGAGAGAAACCAGATAACCCCACACAAGTCAATGCTTGCTGGTGCCCAGTGACAAGGGCGTGAGGACATTCAGTGTCCTGGGAGAGGCTAAGCCAGGGAGGGGTGATGCAGGGGCCGTTTAGACTGGGGAACTGAGCAAGGTCCTGCTGAGAAGGCAGCTTGTGGCCGAGACCAGAGGAAGGAGCAGGAGTCATGCAGGGCAGGGCAGAGAGCATGGGCACAGGCCTGGCGGTAGGACCGCGCTTTAAGGAACCGAAGAACCTGTCCAGAGGCGGGAGCAAAAAGGAGCAAAAAGGCAGGTAGCCCTGAGGAAGCTGGGAAGACAGATGTTCAGGGCCCAGGCCTGCCGAGTCCAGGCTGTGGCAGAGGTGGGGCCTGGCCCTGGGGCAGTAGGGAGCCCTACAAGACTGCCAGCAAGACAGGAGGAGCAGACTTCTGGGGTAGAACGTTCTCTGGCTTCTGTGACTAAGTCAAAGCCAGGTTGGCAGCGGGAGCTGCGGGAGGGAGAGGCAGGATCTGCTACCAAAGCCTTTTCTCCTGAAATGCCCTGATCTTTACATTCCTTATGCTATTTGGGAACTTCCTAAGAGGATGTACGTTGGGTAGGGGTGGAAACCAGTCAGTGGGGGTCCTGGCTGGAAGGCGGATTCGCCCAGATGGCACACGTGGAGGCGTGGGAGGACATGAAGGAACTCGGGCAGAGGTGTGGGCTGGATGGAGAGGCCCTCGGGACTAGCCACCGCAGTAAGCCCTGACCACTCCAGGGCTGGAGGACAAGGGGAGGGATGACCTGGTTCAGAGCCCATGGAGCTGGAGCAGGGGTGGGGGCGGGGCTACCAGTGGGGGCTGTGGCTTCTGAGACACTGAGGTGGGAAGCGGTGGGAGAAGAAGTACCCACCTCCATCTCCGCGGCTGCCCCTCCAAGGGCCACACCAGATGGAGCAGGGGACTGCCTCCAGGGTTGGGGCTGGAAGAGAGTGACCGCACAGGTGGGGTCCCAGTTCTGAATCAGTCTTGCCTGGAGCACTCCTTGCTGAATTGGCCTGTGTCCTACCATGCCAAGGACTCAGTCCTTCCTCCATTCCTTCCGCCCTCCATCCCTCCCTCTCTACCTATTTATTGAGCCAGACACCACACCAGCACTGAGGATGTCATGAAAAACCTGATCGTGCCCTGACCGGTTTGGCTGTGGTTTGAATCCAGGTCAAGGGCACACACCTCGGTTGTATGTTCTGTCCCTGGCCCTGGTTGGAGTCGTGTGGGAGGCAACCAATTGACATTGATCTCTCTCTCCCTCTCCCTTCCTCTCTCCTTCCCTCCCTTCCACGCTGAAGTTGTATCTCCAGTGATATCTAAAAATCAATGAGAAAATACCCTTGGGTAAGGATTAACAAAAAAGAAAAAAAAAACAACTTGATCCACATGCAGCTCAGCCCAGTGTTGAAATTCCACCTGGGACAACAGAACGTGGCCATCCATACGGTGGAATAGTACTCAGCCATAAAAAGGAAACACGGAAAACGCTACACGTGGGAGAAGAAAACATTATGCTAAAGGAAAGAAGCCAGACATAAAAGGCCTCATACCATATCCACTTATACAAAATGTCCAGAATAGGCAAAACTACAGAGACAAAGCAGATTGGTGGTTTCCAGGGCCTGGGGGTGGGGAGTGACCTCTAATGGGTGTGGGGTGTCCTTTGGGGGGATGCAAATGTCTTGGAATTAGGTAGAAGTGATGGGTGCACAACAGAGTGAATGAACCAAAAGCCACTGAATTGTTTCCTTGAATGTGGTTAATTCTGTGGTACGTGAGTTAGATCTGAATAAAAAATACAACTTTCCTGCCTGGCTGGTGTGGCTCAGCGGATTGAGTGTCGTTCCATGGACTGAGAAGTCCTGGTTCGATTCCTGATCAGGGCACATGCCCCGGTTGCAGGCTCGATCCCCAGTAGGGAACGTGTAGGAGGCAGCCAATCCATGTTTCTTTCTCACAACGATGTTTCTATCTCTCTCTCCCTAAAAGAAATAAAAATAGAAGTCAATAAAATACAACTTTCCATCTTGCCTCATCTCCCCCATTTCAGATCAGCCCCTTTATCAACGAGAACACCAGGCAGAAATTCCTCATCTACAGTGGCAGCAATTACCAGGGCCCCGGAGGCCTTGTCGACTACCTGGACAAGGAAGTGATCCCCGACTTCCTCGGGGGAGAGTGCATGGTGAGGCTGCCGGGGCCCTGGGCTGGAGGAGGAGCAGGCGGCGGCCTTGGGGCTGGAGTGCTGAGGCAGGGTTTGTTTTAGAGGCTGCCCCAAACATAGGTGACTCCTCTCTGAAGGGGGGCGGCCTTCCCTTGGAGAGCGAGACAGAGTTTCCAGAAGTTCAGTGACGGGCCAGTCAAAGGCTCACCCATCCTGTGGTCCCCATCCAAGTCTAGGTTGCTAGGATACAGTCAGAGTTTACCTTTTGCATCCTCTGCTCTAAGGGGATGTGACTCAAATGTCCCAGAGGCCTGGACCCTGGAGCCAATGTGCCCAAAGGGGTTTATCCCCAACTCACAACCACAGGGTGTGGGATGACTGGGCCACTGCTTCCAGGGGAGGTGGCCCTAGCCCCCTTTTTTTGCCCCACTTGGGGGTGAGATGATAGGCAGGGTGACCCTGGTCACAGATGTCTTATCTCTTCTGCTGTGGGAAGGCAGGCCCCTCTCCCTTCTCTAATAGAAATACCAAACAGCACCCTTGCATGATTTGGGGGTTAAAAAAACAGATTTCCCAGGAATTTTGCCAAGCTTGCCCATTTTCTCCACTTGTTGCGATATGTCTGTGCGACATATTTAGTAAATGGGTCTGCAAGACCAGCGCAGTGGGGAGGAGCATGCGCCTGGGAGCCTGGTAACACGGGCTTGTGCCCTGGCTCAGCCCCTTTCTGCTGCCTCACTTCTCTGAGCCTCTGTTTTCCTCCTCCGTGAAATGGGAAGAATAATAGTTTCTACTGCATTTTTGTAGTTTGGGGATTAAATGGGGTCAAGGAAGCCTAGTGCCCAGCTCACTAAGAGATCGCTGTTATAAGTATGGTTTCAGGGGTCACAGAGCACCCTTCTGTGGGTCAGTCAGGCCTGGCTGGGCCCTGACCTGCCACCTTTGTCTTTGTCCCCCAGTGTAATGTCCCCGAAGGAGGGCTGGTCCCCAAGTCCCTCTATCTGACGGAAGAGGAACAGGAGCAGGCAGAACAGCTGCACCAGTGGAGAGAGACCTACCAGTCGGCCAGCGTGCTCCGCGGGGCCCCCCACGAGGTCCTGGGGCTGTGGCCTGGGAGGGCCCGCTGGGCTGGGATGTCATCATAGGTCACGGTCCCCCAGAGCAGAGCCTGAAATGAGGGTTCTCATGCTAGCATTTGCTGAGGGCAAGCTCTCGGGAGAAACCTGTAAGGGGGGTGTGGGCAGGGTGGACATGGGCAAACATCTAAGCTAAGAGGTTGTTTCAGCCAGTTTATCCCAGTGCAGAGCCCGACAGAATGGCCCTGGCAGCCTCTTGTACCTTCCTGTCTGTCAGTCAGTGGCTGTGGGTCAGCCCCCAAGGCAGTGTGGGGCCCCCAGGGATTTCAGATAGAGGGGGGTTCATTCTCAGACCTTGCCTGTCCCCATGCAGGTTGTGGTGGAGATTCTGGAGGGGGAGTCAGTCATCACCTGGGACTTCGACATCCTACGAGGGGATGTGGTGTTCAGCCTGTACTATGCCAAGCAGGCACCCAAGCCGGGCCCCCAGGAGCCTGGGGCCAGGGCCAGTGGGCAGCTGGTGGACAGAGGCGGGGCCCTGGCCGCAGATTACAGCTGCGTGGACGCCCCCCTCATCTGCCGGGAAGGGGAGAGCATCCAGGTTCGAATTTCTTGGTTCATTTATTCATTCATCATGCGGGACCAAGTGTTCACTGTGTGCCAGGGTTCTGGGGGCACAGCAGTGGACAGACAGGACCTGGTCCTCGGCTTCAGGTACCCTGTGGGACAGTGGGGGAGAAAGACAGATCCTGGCAGGTCCAGCACCCGGACCTCAGGACCCCTGCCTCAGAAACCCCTGGAACTCCTGCCAAACATGCAGGTTTCCAGGCCCCAAGCTTGGCGGGGTGACTCAGAACCTGTGGGTGCTGGGCCTACGATCTGCACCCCTCGCCCTCTCCTGGTGATCTCTGATGCCCAGTCATGTTCCAGCACAGCACAGAAACAGGTCTGGGAACAGAACGCACACTTGGCACCACCGTGAGCCACCCTGCTGAGCTCACATCCCCCATGAGGCCAGTGCCTGCAGGTCGGACATCACGGGCCCCCAAACACACACTTATCCCCTCACACCCCAGCACTCACACACACACACACACACACACACACACACGCACTCACACATGCTCACACACACTCATGTGCCTGCATACACACTCCCACATGTGTGCACACATACGCATACTCACAAAAACACAGGTGAGCACTGCAGATCTTACTGAAGGGTCATGGGGAGTCTAGCACACCAGCACCCCTGGGGTCCCATTGTGCATCCCAGCCCTTCTCTGAAGGTGCTTTTCTTATAACAGCTGATACCGCTCTTTCTCGTTCTCTCAGCTCTCAGCGGGCTCTATCCACCTGTGAGAGTCCCCCCCAAAGCCCTCTCCAGAACTCCTCAGTGTGCAAAGCCCACTCGACAGAACAAAAACCCAACAAAGTCGAGGCAGTTAAGCAAACCGCACCCCCAGGCCTTGACCTCCCACCCCCATATTCAGAGAGAGACTGTCAGCTGCTAGTGATATGGGGGTAACAGTGGAGGGGGGCAAGGGGGGCTTTGGGAGGCTCTTAGAGGAAGAACTTGAGGAGTCTTTGTCCCCAGGAGGACCAGAGCCTCAGGCCTGGTTGCTGTTTCAGGGCTCCCATGTGACCCGGTGGCCCGGCATCTACCTGCTGCAGTGGCAGATGCATGCCCCCCCTGGCAACGTGGTGGAGGACGTACTGATGGCCCCGCACAGCCCCGGCCGCAGGTGCAAACTCCTCTACTACTATGAGGTGCTGGCGTCTGAGGACTTCAGGTAGGAGGGGCTGGGACGGGGGCCTGGTCTGGAGGGGGCCCTAACTCCCCTCCAGACCAGGCTGGGGGCATAGCATTCACCTCCCCTACTTGCCTCTGAGTTTCTCCAGGGGTGGGGCACTGGTACTGTTAAACATTTCCAGTGGTTCATCACCTTAGTGTGAGAAGTTAGACACTATGCCTAAACTTTGCCTCAGAGGCAGAACCTTCCCCTCCAATGAAACCTTGGACAGAAGTTCAACATAACAGATTAATTTGTGGGGGAAGACTGAGGTCCTGCTCTTGGACCTCCCCCCATGGCTAGAGTTCCATAGAACAAGTGATCTTTCAGAGAGACGGGGAAATATAATGGTGAGACCTCCAGTACTTCCTGGTTGCCATGTGACCTTTGGGGCGTCACTTTACCTCTCTCAGCCTCAGGCTTCCTCTCTGTTAAATGGGAGGCCACTGGAGCCCAAAAGCTGTGGGTTGCCATGAGGATGAAATGGTTGGAAGAAACCTGCCCTTCACCTGGGCATTCTGTAAGCACTCAATAGCAGAAATAAAACACCTACTCACAAAGCCTGGGTGAGCAAGTGGGCATGTATGCACTTCGTGTGGAGATGGAAGGATCTGAGCAGTCTATCATTTCTCTCGGTGGGCATTTGCTGTCCTAACAAGGAAGGGAAGCATAATGCAAATACACCTAAACTGTTTCTCTGTAGTAATTTTTTTCATATCTGAAATTGTATTGTTTAATATTTTGAATAAGATTTTAATCATAAAAAACCCCCACAACTTTCCAAAACCTAAGGCATGTATCTCAAGTAGTTCTAAGAGGGAAGTTAACAGCTATATAGGCCTATATCAAGATACAGGCCTATATCAAGATACAATCCCATGTAAGCAGCCTAACTTTACACCAAAGGGAACTAGAAAAAGAACAAGCAAAACTAAAAGTAAGTAGAAGGAAGGAAATGAAAAAGATCAGAGTAGAGACAAAAATAAAAATAATGGAAAAGATCAATAAAAATAAGAGCTGGTTCTTTGAAAAGATATATAAATCGACAAAACTTTAGCCAATTTCATCAAGAGAAAAAGAGAAAGAGCCCAAATAAATAAAATCAGAAATGAAAGAGAAGTTGCCACCAACCTCACAGAAATACAAAGGATCATTAAAGAATATTATGAACTATTGTATGCCAACAAGTTGGACAACTTAGAAGAAATGGATACATTTCTAGAACATACAACCTTCCAAGACTGAACTAAGAAGAAACAGAACATCTAGACCAATTACTAGCAACAGAATTTAAACAGTAATAAAAACATTCTCAACACACCAAAGTTCAGGACCAGACAGCTTCACAGGTGAATTCTATCAAACATTTAAAGAAGGAACACCTATCCTTCTCAAACTATTTCAAAAAATTGAAGAGGAAGGAACACTTTCAAGCTCATTCAACAAGTCCAGCATTACCTTGATACCAAAACCAAACAAAGACACTACAAAAAAAAAAAAAAGAAAAAAAAAAAAAGAAGAAAATTACAAGACAATATTTCTGATGAACATAGATGGAAAAATTCTTAACAAAATATTAGCAAACCAAATTCAACAATACATTGAAAGGATCATACACTATGATCAAGTGGGATTTATTCCAGGGATGCAAGGATGGTTCAGTATCCCCAAACCCTACCTGATACATCACATCAATAAAACCAAGGATAAAAATCATATGATCACCTCAATAGATGTAGAAAAAGCATTTATGAAACTTCAACATCTATTTATAATAAAAACAAAGTGAGTATAGAGGAAACATACCCCAACATAATAAAGGCTATATATGACAAACCCACAGCTACCATCTATTCAGTGGTGAAAAGCAGAAAGTCTTTCCTCTAAGAGCAGAGACAAGACAAAGATGCCCACTCTCACCACTTCTATTCAATGCAGCATCGTAAGCCCTAATCATAGCAATCAGACAAGACAGAGAAATAAAAGACATTTGAATTAAACAGGATGTCACTATTTGCAGATGATATGATTCTATATATAAAAAACCCTAAAGATTCCACCAAAAATGATTATAACTAATAAATGAATTCAGTCAAGTTGCAGGATACAAAAATAATATATAAAAATCTATTGTGGCCCTGGCTGGTTTGGCTGAGCAGTGAGAGCATTGGCCTGCAGTCCAGAGAGACCCAGGTTCGGTTCCTGCTAGGGGCACATACCTCTGTTGCGGTTTGTCCCCGGTCCTGCTTGGGTTGTGCGGGTGGCGACAACTTGATGTGTCCCTTACACGTCAATGTTTCTCTCTCTCTCTCTCTCTCTCTCTCTCCTTCCCTCCCACTCTATCTGAACAAAAAATGGAAAAAAATTTCCTCGGGTGAGGATTAAAAAAATCTATTGTGTCTCCTTTAAAAAAATGTTTTATTGATTTTTTAGAGAGGACAGGAGAGGTAGAAAGAAAGGGAAACATTGATGAGTGATCAGAACATCAGTCGGTTGCCTCCTGCAGGCACCCCCACCAAGGATCGAGCCCACAACCTGGGCATGTGCTCTGACCAGGAATCAAACCAGTGACTTTTGGTGCACGGGACAACGCCCAACCAATTGAGCCACACTGGCCAGGGCTCTATTGTGTTTCTATACACAATGAATGATCAGAAGAAGAAATTAAGAAAATAACCCTATTTACAATTGCATCAAAGAACATAAAATACCTCAGAATAAATTTAACCAAGAAGGTGAAAGACCTGTACTCTGAAAACCATAAGACATTGAAGAAAGAAATTAAAGAGAGCACAGATAAATGGAAGGATATACCATGCTCATGGATCAGGGATTAATATTGTTAAAACTTCCCTTATAACTAAAGCCATCTACAGATTCAATGCAAATCCCATCAGAGTACCAATGACATTCTTCTCATAACTATTACAAATAATCTTTAAATTTATATGGAACCACAAAAGATCCCAAATAGCCAAAGTAATCTTGAGAAAGAAGAACAAAGTTGGAAACATCATGCTCTCTGATATCAAACTATAATCAAAACAGCATGGTACTGGCACAAAAATAGACACACAGAACAATGGAACAGAATATAGAGCCCAGAAATAAACCCTCGCTTATATGGTCAATTAATCTATGACAGAAGAAGTAAGAATATACAATGGAGAAATGACAGTCCCTTCAGTAAGTGATATTGGGAAAACTGGATAGACACAGGCAAAAAAGTAAAACTGGACCACTCTCTTCCACTATATACAAAAATAAACTCAAAGTGGATTAAAGAGTTAAATGTGAGACCTGAAACCAGAAAACTGGAAGGAAACACAGGTAGCAAACTATTTGACATTGGTCTTAGCAATATCTTTTTGGATTTGTCACCGCCATCAAGGAAAACAAAAGCAAAAAGAAGCAAATGGGACTACATCAAACTAAAAACAATGAAGTTGTGTATAATTATAATAGACTTACCATGAAGTTAAATTGAGGATCCAGGAGGTTATTGAATCTGGACCCACGTCCCAGGTAGAGCTCCAAGGGTTCTAGGGGCACAAGCAGCCCAGTGTGAGAAGTACTGGGTGAGCATCTTTTCTCCAAATAGAGTCCCCGTGCTGTGTCAGAGGACCAGAGATTCTCTGTTTGGGAGCTGACCTGTGTTGGCCAGAGGGGCTCAGACATGTAGAGACAGGCATCTGGGGGCTGCTGCCTCTAAGGGGGTAGGTGGGGACTGGACACTGCTCACTAGCCTGTCTGGTCAGTGTGGGGGAACCTGGATGTCCTGCCCTTTGTTAGCCTCATGAGAGAAACACTTCAAGGGCTGTTTCCTGACCACCCTCAGTGGGCAGGCAGCAGGCTGGGCCCTGAGGGGTTGGGGACCAGACAGGCAGGGTCTGCTGTCATGGAGCAGGAGCCCATACCTGTGTGTAATATGAGGAGTGATGGATGACACGAAGGTATTCCAGCCTGGAGTCCTTATCCAAGGTCACACAGCCAAGAGGTGCTAGAGGTCCGAACACGGTGCTGTCAGAGGACAGAGCAAGGGGCCTGGCCCAGGGTAGGCAGGGGTGTGGGGAGGTGTCTGGGGAGTGGTACTGGAGTTGAGATCTAATTTGACAAATCACCGGTGGGGCTTGTCAAACTGTAGCCCAAGCGTGCACGCTTGAACAAGCCCAGGAGACGGCGGTGCTGCTGGTTCCGCCACATTGCGTGTAGCCAGGGCCCGAAGCTGCACTGTCCAGCCCAGGTACTGGCCACAGGTAGCACCTCAAACTTGGCTATCAGAATGACATGAAATTACGAATTCAGCTCCTAGGTCTCAATAGCCATATCGGAGTGCCCAGTAGCCCACGTGGCCAGTGGCCACTGTGATGGAAGAGCAGATATATGTCCAACATCACAAAAAGTTTTGGATGGTTCTACTCAGAATTTTGAAGTGGGAGTGAACTAGACAAGGTGGGCAGGAGAGAAAGGCTTCTGGCAGGAGACACAGACTTGCAACTGTCCCAAGATAAGGGAGGTGGGTGTCAGAGGAGCTGAAAGGAGGTGGGGGGTGAGGTCGGAGATGGACTGGGGACTTCCCTAGGCTGTGAGATGCCCTCTGGGCTGTGCTGGGTCCCCAGATCAGGGAGCCCCCTGAGTGGTTTGTGGCAGGTTGGGCTCTGCTTGGGGGTATGGGGACAGGGAAATGGGAGGAGCTTCATTTCTCATCTTGGCTTCACTGGCTTTCTCTCTGCACTTGCCCTCTGCACCTGGGGTGTTTACCAGCCGTGGGGATAGAGCCCTGGGGCCTCATTTGCAGCATCACCAGTTTTACCACCCCGTGTGTGGGCCCCAGGGCTGTGTCTCCACCAGAAGGTAATATTTACGCTACATCTTTCCTCCCCAGGGGCTCCATGTCCAGCCTGGAATCCTGCACCAGCCGTTTCTCCCAGCTCAGCGCTGCCACCTCCTCCTCCTCCGGCCAGTCCCACAGCAGCTCCCTGGTCTCCAGATAGCTGGGACTGAGCCCTGCGGGGCATCCCACTCGCTACCACGTCCTCAAGTGTCTACCACCAGGAGCCAGCCTGCTGCACGACCGGGGGCCATGTGGTCTATAGCGGGGTCTGGACGCTGCCAAAGCTGGGGTGCCTGGAGCCGACAGCAGTGATTCAGCTCGTGGCCTGTGTGTGGTGGGAGTCTCTGTCAGAACCATCTCCACTGGGCTTTGCGGAATGAAAAGCCAAGGAGTGGGTGGACCACCTTCAGCCCTGCCTGGTGTGGGGGCTCAGGGATGTCATGAGGCTCAGCCCTCCCCTTTACTTCTGCCTCTGCTATCCCTGCGATGGCCTCATTCTCAGGTGCCTTCCCCATTGTCATGAGGCTACTTCCCTTTTTCAAAATTTTATTTATTTTTGTTTTTTTAAAAAATCCTCACCCGAGGATATTCCTCCATTTATCTTCAGACAGAGTGGGAGGGAGAGAAAGGGAGAGAGCGAGAGGAACATCGATGTGAGAGGGACATATCGACTGGCTGTCTCCCATACCACCCCAACCAGGGCCGAGGATGAAGTGCAACCGAGGTACGAGGTACGTGCCCTTGGCCAGAATCGAACCCACGACTCACTGGTTCGTGGGCCAATGCTCTACCGCTGAGCCAAACATGCCAGGGCGCTCTTTTTTTATTTTTTAAATATGTTTTTATTGATTTCAGAGAGAGAAAGGGAGAGGGAGAGAGAGAAAAAAACTTTGATCAGCTGCCTCCTGCATACCCCCTGCTGGGGATCGAGCCCTCAGCCTGGGCATATGCTCTGACTGGGAATTGAACCAGCGACCTCTTGGTGCATGGGACAATACCACTGAGCCACTTTCCTCCCAGCTCAGCTCCAGAAAAGAACTTTTCCCCCTCAAAGTTCCTCCAGTCTCCTAGAATGGAGTCTTATCAGCCTGCCTGGGTCCTGAACCAATCACAGTTGCCAGGGAAATGGAGAACACTGATTGGCCGGCAGGGTCCTACGTCCAATCTGGACCAATCACTGCGTGGGGAGCGGGGGTGCAGTGATTGGCCAGCCTGGACCACATGCCTGTTCCTGGAGCCAACCCCTGGTCTAAAAAGCACAAGGGGCCCCTAGGAATATTGGGGTCCCCCAAGAAGAAGGGGGAAAAATACTGGGCAAGCAAAAATGACAGGTGTTCATCAGATGGTAATCTGATTCCATAGTGGTGCCCCGTGTCCCAAGACAGGTACGGTGAACAGTTATATGAGTTACAGGCTTTGCTTTCTGGGGGAAGCAGCCCACCCTGGACTTGAAATCCATTTTCCTAGTGCTCTGAACTTGAAGAGTGTGGGAAGGCGCAGGGTTTCTGCTAAGTTTCAGGCAGTGATGAAGCAGTTCCTCGGGAGCTCCCCTTCTCTCCTGGGAGCTCTTTAATTTTGACCCTTTTTAGTTCTAAGTCATGGAGATCCACATGTCCAGGAGGGCTTGCTTCATGTATGGCTGGATACAGGAACTCAGCCTGGCACCAGGATTTGGTTGTGTCTGCCCTGGGTCAAATCTGACTCCCGGCACCAGCTCCAATACCGACAGACTTTCCCTGACTTCCTGCATGGGACAGTTTTATAAATCCGTGGGGCCTGAGGACATTTCTTTTTTCCTTTCCTGGGCCTCCAAAGAGACAACAGGTCAGAGGTCACCAGGTAGCAGCCTGCAGTCTGATCTGGCTTGCGTTTAGTTTAATTTTTGTTTCTTGCCTATAGAGTGATTTAAAAATTGGGGCATTTCACCCAGAAACCAGGATGTCTGGCTTCCCTTAGGCATGTGGGAATATTGGCAAAATAGGGCCACTACTGCCACATAAAGGCAACAAACACAGTTGTTACCTGGATGGGCCACGTCAGTTCCCACCCCTCTTTAGACCCACCCCTAGCCCATGGCCCCCATGCACTGTCTGCCTGGGAGAGACTCACTGCAGTGGCTTGGCAGGCAGCCTGGGCGCCAGTCTGGGGTCTAGAGGCTCAGCGTTACTTTGATCTCATAACCTTGTTTACAGTTGGGGGTGGTCTCTGGTCAGTACCCAGTCACTGGGCCTTGTCCAAGGGGTGGACCTATCACCGTGGGAATTGTCGCCTCCATGCAGGCTTGGCACGATGGGGCCAGAAGAGCAAGCTTACTTCCACACCAACCTCAACCCCAAACCTGGAGTTGAGGGAAGGAGACACCCTTCTCCTTGCACGGAAGGAGCTTCGTCCACCTCTAGTTCTCCGCGTGCTCCTCAGGTCTGGGAACATAACCCAAAGTGCATCCTGCACTGTGTGTGCACATGTGAGGGAGAGAGGGGAGGGAGACGAGACATTTGCAAAGCGAATTGCTCCCATGTGACCAGGCACTTATTGCTGAGAGCAATTTGCGATACTGTCAGCTGTCTTCAGATGAATTTCTAGCTTGCCTCTGAAAACTATGTGTTATCCTAGAAGCATTTCTAGGGTACGCTGCCCTAGCACTCCCTGCACACTTATCCTCTAAGACTAGCACCCAGTGAAGGAGGGAGAAGCCCTTCCTTGACTTGGGGTTAGAAATGGCTTTTGAAAACTGGAACCTGGATCTGCCTATTCCAGAGATGAGGGTCAGCCATCAGGATCAGTCCAGCTTTTACAGGAGGAGCAAGGGACCTCAGGCCCACTCAGTCTCACCGTCAGAACTACCCCCACCCCCTCTCAGCCTCACCCAGGCCTCTTGGCTCTGCCTCTCTTTGCACACCAGCCTCATCCCCTCCTCCACCTGGTGGGAAGTGGCTGCCAGCATCCCCTAGCCTACAACCACAGAGCTCACCATCTCTGAGGCCGAGAGAGACACTCTTTCTTTTTTTTTTTTTTTTAGAGAGAGAGGAAGGGAGAGAGAGATAGAAACACCTATGTGAGAACATTGATCAGCTGCCTCCTGCTTGGCCCTACTGGGGATCGAGCCCGTAACCCGGGCACGTGCCCTGATTGGGAATCGAACTGGGACCTTTCAGTCCATAGGATGACACTCAATCCATTGAACCACACTGGCCAGGCGAGAGACACTCTTTCCATTTCAAATCCCACAGAGGGCTTGGATTGGGCCCTGCAAGGAGCTGCATGTTCACTTCTGTGGATGTACTGGCCAAGGGGGTTGAGGATACCCCTGGAGGTGATTGACATTCCCTCCAGAAATGCCAGTAGGCTGGGGGAGGACCAGTCACCTAAGGACAAGGGGAGCTGTGCCAGAGAAGCACAGATGGCTCCGGCGTCTGCGACAGTCCTGTGCTGAAGGTCTCTGGGGCCCACATTGGAACATCATCAATCAATGCACCATCTTTATACCTTTGAGAGGCTTGGCATTAAAAATCCAAGGGCTGCCAAGCTCTGGGCTTCTTAATTTCCCTGGACCCCAAGGCTGGAAACTCCTTGGCTTGGCTTTTCTCTCCAGCTTGTTCATTAACCTGCTGTGACCCACTTGCAACAGGACCTGCCCAGGCTCTGGGTTTAGGAACCTGGGTCTTAAAATTTAGACAGGCTGGGGTTCAAACCCAGCCGTGTAACCTCCAGCAGGTGACTTAACCTCTCTGTGCCTCAGTTCCCTCATCTGTGAAATGGGGACAGCAGTGCCTACCTCATCCATTGGGTCGTAGTGGGATGAAATGAAAGAGCGGCTGTGAAGGCCGCCGCCCAGCACCCAGCTCACAGAAAGTCAGAGGCTATTCTGGTTATTTACTGCTTCTCGTCCAAAGACTGCACACTCGTTCCAGAGGATGCCTGTCACTATTTTTCATGGGACAGAAGGCTCAGAGCCAGGTGCATCCAGAGGACAGTAGGTGTCAGGATATTATTTCCCTCTGACTTTCCCTTTCAGAAACTGCTTGCATTTTCTGGACGAATCCACTCATCTGGAACAGCACCATTCAGAGAGGTGTCTCCCTCAACCAGCTAGAGACGGTTCTCTCCACAGGTTGAAATAAGGGGAGTGTGAGACTTTCCCCCTACTCTGTACTCCCCGGGATTTCTCCCTGTAATGTGACTTCTTCAATGGGAATAGTGTAATACTTTCCCACACAGTCTGTTTCAGCCAGTAAAAGCATGGGGTTTCTTGTGGACCTGATATTTGCTCCAATCGAAGCAGTAAATGTTTCCAATTTGGACACACCTCTACTTGCCTACTTCCTAAAACCCTGGCGATTTCCTTCCGCTTGTTCAAGAATTACCCAGCTCTTGTTTCTAAGACTAGAGCCTTCTCAGTGGGGGTTGTATCACCCTCAGGGGTTGCAAATTGGTTCTTGGGGAAGGGGACACACTTTTTATACATAAAACACAGATGTATCAGTTTCCTGGGGATGCTGTAACAAATGATTGCAAACGAGGTGGCTTAGAAACAAGTCGATTCTCTCCAAGTTCTGGAATCAAAGGGTTAGCAGGCTGCTGCCTCTTCCAGCTTCTAGTGGCTCCTGTTGTTCCTGGCTGGTGGCCACATCACTCCTGTCTCTGCCTCCATCTTTTTTTTTAATCCTCACCCAAGGACATTTTTTCATTTTTTGTTCAGATAGAGTGGGAGGGAGAGAGAGGAAGAGAGAGAGAAATATCGACGTGAAAGGGACACATTGAATGGTTGCCACCCGCACGACCCAACCAGGGCCGGGGACAAACTGCAACCGAGGTACATGCCCTTAGCGGGAAACGAACCTGGGTCTCTCTGGACCGCAGGCTGATGCTCTAACCACTGAGCCAAACCGGCCAGGGCTCTCTGCCTCCATCTTTGATGGCCCTCTCCCCTGTGTCTCCTTTCTTGTTGGGACACCAGCCATTGGATGTAGGGCCCACATTGATCCACATCTGCAAAGACCCTACTTCCAAATAAGGCCACAGTAGGAGGTTCTGGGTGGACGTGAGTTTGGGGGGACCCTATTCAACCCACTGCATATGCATACACCACATAAACAGGTACACGTGCCATTTATCCATGGTGTTGCATGCATATCCCTGGGGCCCACTCAGCACAGCTGACTGGGAATCTTGGGGGTAGGTTCTGGATTCTATTTGCCAGGTATCCAGGTGAAGGTGAGGGAGGGCCCTGCCGCCCATCTTTCTGGGCTGTCCCCTGCATTTTACCCAAGTCCCGGCATTGCATCTGAGGATATCCGCAGTCCTGATGTCAGCAGGGGAGGGGCCCTTTCCAGGGCAACACTTGTCCCTCCCAGGAGCTCTGTTGGGGTGCTGGCTGTCACATGCATGGGATTCTGAAAAGGCTCCCTTGTTCTGAAGCAGGAGGCCAAAGAGTGGGCAGCAGAGGAGGCAGGGTTCCTTTGTGTGACAGTATTAGGGCCACCTGTCCAACCCAGCTTCTGCTGCCCAGACTGCCCAACACATCTGACGGAGGGAGAGGAAGCAGCCCAGTCGCAGCCCACCCGGCAGCCCACCCGGCAGCCCACCCGCAGCCCACCCGGCAGCCCACCCGCAGCCCACCCGGCAGCCCGCCCGGCAGCCCGCCCGGCAGCCCACCGGCAGCCCACCCGGCAGCCCACCCGCAGTCCACCCGCAGCCCACCCGGCAGCCCACCCGCAGTCCACCCGCAGCCCACCTGGCAGCCCACCCGCAGTCCACCCGGCAGCCCACCCACGGCCCACCCTTGAATTGTGCCCATTGCCCGCCCTCTGGCTCTGGAATTGAAACTCTTTTCTGGAGTCTTTCCTGGTGCTAATGTATGACAAAGAGAACCCGCAGCTGAGCTAGGAGTCACTCAGAACTCCCAGGGTGCCATGTCAGGCCCCTCACCACCATGAGCTGGGGAGATCCAGGCGCTGCCACAACCAGACCATGCGAATCCCCAGCCCACAATCCTGAAGCTTCATGACTTCAGCTCTGTCATACGTGTCCCCACCACCACAGGTAGGGGTTAAAACCGCGGCCATTTTTTGTTCCATGTCCCATCTGAGCTCTACAAATGCCCGAGTCCAAAACAGGCCTCTCCTTGAATGGCACGTTATGACTGTGTTGCCAGAGACCCCAAGATCTAACACAATCGGCCTCGAGCAAAAATGGGGATTTAGCCCTGGCCAGTTTGGCTCAGCGGTTAGAGCGTCGGCCTGCGGTCTGGAGAGACCCGGGTTCGGTTCCCGCTAAGGGCACGTACTTCGGTTGCAGTTTGTCCCCGGTCCTGGTTGGTCGTGCGGGTGGCAGCCACTCGATGTGTCCTTTTCACGTCGATGTTTTTCTCTCTCTCTCCCTTCCTCTCTCTCCCTCCCACTCTATCTGTACAAAAAATGGAAAAATATCCTCGGGTGAGGATAAAAAAAACAACAACAACAACAAAAAAAAGGGGATTTACTGGTCCACCTAACTGGGAACTCCAAGAATGACCCCGGCGTCTGGATAGCTGCACCTAGGGGCTCAAATGATATCCTCTCTCTCTCTTGGTTCAATTCTCCATGTTGGCTTCACTTTCCTCCTCCATGTGGCCCAGACCCTGGAAGCTGGACGGTCCCAGTGGAGAGTTTCTGTCCCCCGGTTCCAGCAGAAGTTCCAGGGTGAGCTCTGACTGGCCAACAGGGACATATGCCCATCTGAACCATTCGCTGGTGCCACCTGGACCTGGAGGGAGGGGATGGAGAAGGGGGCAGAGGTAGTGCCCCAGAGCAACCCGACGGAGCTGTGGTTATGGCCCTTGATGTCCTGCCCACCTTCCCTGGACGCTCTCATTACCCAAAGGACACCTGGATGCACAAAAACTCTGATTTTCTCTCCAGTGGCCCCTTTGACCATACCTGGCCCCAAGCAGAGCAGGCCGGAAGTGCCCGAGGTAACCCCCAAGGGCAGCCCTCAACCTGTGGTAAATGAGTATTGGCTGCTAAACAGGCCAGGTCCCTCCTCCCCCGCCTGTGGCTGGCACAGGTATTCTCTACTCTCAGAGGCCCCAGTGGGGTGAGCCTGCCTGCCCACAGTGGGGCGCTGCTCATTAATGTACCATGTACATGCTTTCCCTTCTCCCCTCATTTCCCTGTCTCCCACCCAAGGATTCTTGGGGTCACCCCCTAATACACTACTTGCCTTCACATCCTTGTCTCAGGTTCTGCTGCTGGGAGGACCCAGACTCAGACGGGGCAGTTACTAAAAGACGGACTAGCCCTGGCTGGTTTGGCTCAGTGGTTAGAGCATTGGCCCGGGTCCAAAGGGTTGAGGGTTTGATTCCAGTCAAGGGCACATACCTGGGTTGCAGGTTTGATCTCTGGCCCTGGTTGGGGTCATGTGGGAGGCAACCAATCATTGATGGCCCCCCCATCCCCCACCTCCACTCTATCTAAAAGCTAATGGAAAAATATCCTCGGGTGAGGATTAACAAAAAAGAAAAAAAAAAAAGAGGGACTGGATATCGGGCAAAGATAATAGACACCCTCATGACAAACTTAAAAAAAAAAATCCTTGGGGCCACAGAGAAGGCAAACGTGTCCCAGTTACGGAACCAGGGGCCCTCTGGCATGCCATGAGTCCTCTTCAGGCTCTCCCGCGGGCCTGAAGTCCAGTAAGCCGTGCACAGAACTGAAACTTTCACCTCGGCCTGGAGCATAGCCAAGGACAGAGAGAGGAGCCCTCCGCAGAGGCTGGAGCTCTCAGGACAAGCCTTCCCACAGCCTGTTGCCTCAGAGCCTCTAGGGGTGCTCCCTGTAGGTGCTTGGACCCCTGTGCTTCTGACCTTCAGATTCAGTGGGTCTGGAATGGGATCTGGACTTGCAATCCTAGAACATTCCTGGGGAACATTCTGACCGGCAGCCAGGCTCGGGAACTGTGCCTTAGGAATATGCCAAAATGATCCTAAGGTGCCTGAGAACTTGCTTGTGCTCTTGCCACTGTGTCCTACCCTTGAACATCAAAGCAGCCTGGGGCTGCTCGGTGCATTTAAGGAAAGCAAAATACCAAATGGACCTTCAGGTGGAGTTGCAACACAAGCTCCCTGGAGGAACGCGTGCACTTGGTTGCTTATATTTCTGGGATGAGGAATTAAAGGTGGCAGCATTCACCTGGTTCCTTGACCAAGCTGCTGTCCCTAAGTTCCCAGGCATGCTGAGAGGGCCCCGCTGCCATCCCCTTCCTCCCTCCAACCTGGGCACAAACCAGCAGAGGGCTGAGCGAGGGGTGGAAGCTTTAGTGGCTTGGCAAGCTGTGTGGGCTGTGGGTTCACTAGGTGCCTGAGCAGACTTTAGCCTGTGGCACAGGCCAGAGGACCGAAATGTAGGGAACATCCCAGGCTGGCACAGTGGCTCTCCACTTACCTATCTTCAGGGGACAGACAGACACACAGACCCTCAGACATATCCTTAACAGGAACTCGGAGGCTAAGAACTGGCCTATGATAGTTCACTATTCTGAACTCTTCCTTTCTAAAGTGAAACTAGACTCGCTTTATAGTAACTCGATTGCAGTGATGGGCTACTTCTCTGTCCCTTTGCAGCTCCTCTCATGAAGGAGTGGAGTCTGTCTCCTTTCCCCTGAAATCCAGCAGGCCTGGGGACTTGATCTGATAGAATGTGGTGGAAATGAGCTTACACCAATTGAGCTGAGGCTTTAAAAGGCCTTGCACACTTCTCTTCTGGAATCCTTGTCTCGCTCCACCTTGATTGAGGCCTAAGCAGCCTCCTAGAGGATGACACCATGTGAAACAGAACTACATCCTCAGCTCTGGCCCTCCCAGACCAGCCCCGAGCTCACCAAGTGAGCCCTGCTGAAATCGCTAACCCTAGCCCAGATCAACAGAATCACACAGTTGACCCTAGAATCCTGAGAAATAATTATTTTTCACAATAAGCAGTAACTGATTGTGCTTTTTAAAAATCCTCACCTGAGGATATTTTTCCATTTATCTTCAGATAGGGTGGGAGGGAGAGACATCGACCGGCTGCCTCCCGCATGACCCGGACCAGGGCCAGGGACCAAATTGCAACTGAGGTACATGCCCTTTGTCGGAATCGAACCCAAGACTCTTTGGTCCGTGGGCCGACGCTCCAGTGCTCCAACTGCTGAGCCAAACTGGCCAGGGCCATCTGGTTGTTACTTTAAGCCGCCAAGTTAGGTTGGTTTGTTAGGCGGCACCAGATAACCACTACTGGTTACGCCATGTCTTAGTCTGCTCGGCTGTGACCAATACCAGACTGGGTGGCTCGTACACACGACACTATTCCTCACAGTTCTGGAGGCCAGAAGTCCAAGATCAAGCTGCTGGCACATCTGGTTCCTGGTGAGGGCTTGGCTTGTAGACACTGCCAACTCACTCTGTGGGGACTTGTGGAAGGTACTCTCTGGTCTCTTCCTCTTGTGAGCGCCAACCCCATCAGGGGGCACCATCCTCACCACCTCATCTAAGTAAAGCAAAGGCCCCACTTCCTAATAGCACCACACTGGGGGTTAGGGCTTCAACATAGGAATTGGGGGGGCACACAAGCATGAAAGCCATCCATGCGCAGGTCTGTCTGAAGGCCTCCGGAAAGGGTTGGCACCTCCTCCATCTCCCCTCCCAAAACAGCTGCTAAGCACAGTGTGATACATATTCAAAGGGCAGGGGGGCCGCCAGGCACTTCCTGAAGACCCTTCATGGCCACAAGTTACAAACTGATACTCACAAGGCTGGGAGGTGGCCAGCGGGGGGAGTCGGCTGCTGGGGCTGCGATGGATGGAGGGCCAGGGGGGCTGCAGACCCCTGGCAAGCTGTTGCCTCGGGAGGGCATCAGCTGGGCGCTCTCTCTTTTAGAGAGAAACCAGAAACCTGGAGTTGTTAATCTCCTGACTTTTAAACACTGGTAACTAATCTAAATTCTATGAAAATACAGTGTGCACGAAACCTTTTCCCTTCAAAGTGTGGTCAGGGGCAGCCTCAGCCCCACCTGGGAGCTTGTTAAGACTCAGAAATCTCAGCCCTGGGGCAGAATCTGCATTTTAATGAGATCTCCAGGTGACTCACACACATTAAAACGTGAAGCCCTGAACTAAACAGAATACAGCAGGGAGGTGGAGGTGCTCAGAGCTGCCCGTTCACCACACCTGACACACGTAAAGTGGCCCCACCTGTTAAGACCCAGGAGGGCCCTGAGCCCAGAATTCAGAATTCAGCTACTGCTAGGGGCTCCTTTAATTATACCAATTTATTCAAGTGGTAGAAAAACCCTCTTGGCAGTAGGACGACAAAATAGAAAGTCTGTAAACATTTCATCCCCTATCCCTTCTAAGGAGTTTCCTGTGATAGAAAATTGAATTCTAGCCGGCAATGGTGGTGCAAAGTCTATAGAAAAAGGTCCCGTGATGTGGCCATTCTCCTTAATCCACACCAGTCCAATGGGGTGGCTGGACCCTGCCACTTGGTCACATGGTGGTCATGGTGAGTTGCGTTCACGAGTGGCCCTGCCCCAGGAGGCTGGAGGCTCTTTGGCAGAGGCCCTTGGGCGACAGGCGACAGGCCTCAGGCAGCAGGCACAGGCACAGGCAGGCGGGAAGGAGGCAGTCTCTCTGGGACACTACTGCTCAGGTGCTCGCGCCATGGCAGACATCCAGGTGTGGGCCGAAGGCCAGGTGCGGGGCTGAGGCACAGGTGCAATCAGAAGCTTGGCTGGCACTGGGGCTGAGACCACCCAGAGTCAGTGGCCTTGGACTTTGCCCTGCAGAAGCCGAACGACATTGAAAGGAGCCTCCGGAACAGGCCGTGGTGGGCAGCTGAGGTTTCAGTCCTTGAAGGGGTTGTGGGCGTCACCCGGCTGCTCCTTCTCGGCAGCTGAGAGCTCCCCATTCATCTCTTGCAGTGGATGGTAGACATAGGACCCATCCAGGTGTCGGCTCCGCTCTGCTCTGCAGCTGAGGAGCAAGGACACATTTGCCACCGTGCTGATCAGCAGAAGGAAAACCAGGACCAGGGTGAGGGCCAGCCAGGTGGTCCTGGAGACAGGAGAGAAATCTTGAACGGGGACTGTCGGGCAGATTCAGGGCTGTGGGAGTGTCGGAGGATGTTCCTCCCTCTCCCTTTGCTTTTCCACCCACAACAGGGGCTCAGGGTCGTGGCCTCCAGGGACCACACAGGGCCTCTCAAGGAGCAAATGGGCCTTGTGGGGCTGAGGCGACTCCAGACACGTGTTCAGAGAGCAGTGGGGACAGCTGCTCTGTGGGTTGCAGCAGCTGCCGCCACATCTTCTGATATTTCAAGAAAAACATTTTAAAAAAAGGGTTTTGCATGAATGTTACTGCTTTTCGGATGTTGTTAATAAATCTTTTAAATTGTGGTCCTGGCCGGTTTGGCTCAGCGGTTAGAGCATCAGCCCAACGACCGAAGGGTCTTGGGTTTGATTCCCAGTCAAGGGTGATCCCCAGCCCTAGTCGGGTTGCAGGTTCGATTCCCAGCCCTTGTTGGGGTCGTGCAGGAGGCAACCAATCGATGTTTCTATTTCTCCCTTCTCCACTCTATCTAAAAATCAATGGAGTAAGGGTTAAAAATAAATTTTAAAAAATGTTTAAAATAAATAAATAAAAATAAAATTAAAAAATTTTTAATAAAGTTTTAAATTGTGAAGACCAACTCAAATGAGCTAATCCAGCCCTAGAGGCATCAGTTTGCATCCTGTGCTCCAAGGGAGGCTTGCTGACAGAGGCTGGACTCTGCTCAGGGACCACAAAGCAGACAGAGCAGGTGGCTGCCAGGGGTCTGGCGGGGAGCAGGGCCCTCGGTCTCACACCCCGGGAGCTGGAGCTTAAGGCCAGGGGCTGGAGCTCCTGGGAGCGCCTGCCCCTGCTCTGGTGCATTTTGAAAGCACATTTCAGTCTTCTCTGGGCCTCACTCCGCCCACACTCACTGGGCCAGGATCCCCAGGAGGGACCTGGCGTCTGCTGTACTGACAAGCTCCCAGGGGCGGCCTCTGGGACAATGCTGGGGAGCTCTTCATTCATATCCATACCTGGTTTCTACCTCCAGAGGGGGCCGGGGGAGAGGGGAGGGTCAGGCAGGCACCCAGGCCTGGGCCCTGGGGGTTGAGAACCACAAGAAACGAGGTTCTCAAAGCAGGTCCCCAGACCACCGTGTCAGCATCGCCGGGAATGCAGATGCTCGGGCTCCTCCCCAGACCCACTGAGGCAGAGAGTCCAGCACTCTCGTCATACACCCTCCTCCCTGAGGGCAGTTTGCAAGCAAAGCCTCAACACAGGGCTCGAGCGCACACAGGTGCCTGGGGAATAAGGCAAGTTCCTGGGGGCCCGGTGCTTCTGGACCGGGAGCTCAGACCAACCTGTGAGTGTCATGACCAACAACAGTAAGCCCACGCCCAGCCCCGACTCCCACTGGGGTGCTGACCAGGGTCCTCCTCACCGGCTCCCTTTGAACATCAACTGTGCCGCTCCCTGTGCTCCCATTGGAGAAATGTCGCCTGGGTGCTCAGCTGCCACCTGCTAGCCTTGCCCAGTAGAGGGAGGGGGTCTCCTCCCACCCTTGCCCCAGGTCCCACCAAAGCACCTACCCAGTGAGAAGGGAGAGTTCTGCTGTCTTCAGGGTGACCTGGGGTGGCTGGACACACTGCTTCACTGAAAGACACCAGGGTGAGGCTGAGGGTCCAGGAAGGTGGGGGTCTGCCCTCTCCTGCCTCCAGGGGGCTTGGGAGGGGCCGTACCTTGGGAGAGAATGCTGCTTAGGGTGGGCACCAGGGTGAGGTTGCAGTTGCCGGTCTGGGGGTCACAGGGACACTGGTGCTCACACTCACAAGGGCTCTGGCAGCCTGGCCCATGCCAGCCAAGGGGACACTCTGCAGTGAGGAGAGGGGAAGGTAGACGTGGAGGCGCCAGTGACAGGGCTTCTGTCTGAACTGCCAGGATGGGCCCCCGGGTGCAGAGAGCCTGGCTAAAACAGAGGTGCACCTCCCACACACTCCCAGGCCAGACTGGAGGTGCTCCCCCTGGCTGACTCAGGGGCCCACCTAGCTTACCCTGAACGCAGCTGTCTCCAGTGAAGCCAGGGGGACAGGTGCAGGTCCCCCGAACTGGGTCACACGTAGCTCCGTTCTGGCACTGGCACTCCTTGGCACAGTCCTCCCCGAAGGAGCCATTGCTGCAAGCTGGGATGGGGGAAGGGAGAGCTTTGCGAAATCTGTCCCCGTGGCTCCCAGGCTGGGCCAACAGGGCTGCATATGAACCTCAGTCGCCCTGAGTGGCCTTTAGGCTCACACATTCCCCAACAGACAGTTACTGAGAACACGCCAGTAACTGAGACTCTGCCCTGAGACTGTGCCCTCATGGAGCCTCAAGTCTAGGAGGGCAGGTGACCAGCAAGCTGGAAAGCAAATGTCAAAGTACAAGCAAGGACAAGTACCACAGGGATGTGACCTCTTGGCAGCAGCAAACCACTGAGGGGCCGGGGAGGGGGGGAGGCCTCTGAGGACATGACATTAGGCTGAGATTCTGGAGGAGCAGAGTAAGCACAGTGAGCAAGGAGGGGACAGGGTACCCAGGGCCTGGCGGGTCACACTGAGCAGCTTGGGTTTTTCACTAAGTGCGAAAGAAAGTGGGTTAAAATGTGTTCCCCCAAAAGATACAGCCTAATTCCTAGAACCTGTAAATGGAAACTTGTTTGGAAATAAGTCTTTGCAGATACACATAAGTAAAGGATCTTAAGATGAGATCATTTTAAATTTAGGGTGAGCCCTAAATCCAGTGACCAGGGCTCCTTGGTAAGATAACAGAGAGGGAGACTGAACACACAGGGAGGCCATGTGAAGACGAGGGCAGAGATTGGAGTCGTGTGGCCACAAGCCAAAGAACGCCGGGGACCACCAGGGCTGGAAGAGGTAGGAAGGCTCCTCCCCTAGACCTTTCAGAGGGAGCGTGACTCTGACACCTTGATTTTGGGGTTCTGGCCTCCACATTCCTGTTTTAAGTTGCCCAGGCTGTAGGATTTGTTGTAGGACCCCAGGACACCGATGCAGTGATTTACATGTGAGGCGAGTGCGAGACAAGAGGCAAGCGACGTGCAGACTAAGGTGAGGATGAAGGCAGCTGCCACGCTCACCCTCTCCCCGTGCGCCGGGGGCTGGGGAGGGGTGGGCCTAGTGGCTTTTACCTTCACTGCAGTTGGACCCTGTCCATCCAGCTTCGCAGCGGCAGCCAGCTGCCAAGACAAGACCGAGAAGGTCGGGTGAGGGCCCAGGCAAACCTGGGCAGGGAGAGCTGGGAGCCCGGGTCAAGCTGCCTCCCCAGAGACCTCACTCACTCTCTGTGCACAGCCCCTGCTGGCTGCAGTTGGAGGGGCCACAGTCCAGCCTGTCACAGCCGGTGCCCCGCCAGAAGTGCCCCATGCACTGGCAGCGCCCCTCCACACAGGTCCCGTGGCCGTTGCAGTCAGGTGGCTGGCAGTGGGGCTTATGCACACACACCACAGTGGACACACTTCGGGGACAGCGCCACATGTTGTCCTTGCTGCAAGGGGACACAGTGTTTGAAGAGAAGCTGTGGTGCTGACCATCTCCGGCCAGCCCCTCAAACCCCTTACGGCAGCCTACGAGTGCTGCCTCTCTCCACTGTCCCATCTCCAGACTTTTACAGATTCTTCCCAACCCCCACAGTCCATCTCCCCCAGGGCCTTTGCACATGCTGTTCTTCCACCCCCTGCCTACCCACCTCCTCTTCCTTTAGATCTCTGCTCATGCTTCATTACCCTCAGAGGGTTTTCCTGACCAATCAATCCCCTGTCACTAGCTTAGGTAGTACCGGTACACTATGTATATTTCCTATAAGCAGCGAGACGCAGGGACCTCAGCCCTTCCTGCTCACTGTTGAATCCCCGGGGCCTGGCACATAGCAGGTACTCAGTATTCGTTGAAAAGAGCCAGGGACAGGCTTGAACTCAGACCTCAAGAAGGGGACTCTGGTGTGTTTACCAGTGATCTGACGGGTAACTGGCCAAGGTCCCATTGAGCACAAAGGTAGCGGAGCCCCCTCCATCCAGGTTGATGGCGTTGACCACGTCCTGTTTCAGCAGGAACTCCGCCATCTCCTGCAGGTTAATGCTGCAGCACAAGAGCAGCACTGCTGAGTGCCCACCACCATTTCCGGGGCAATTTGCACTTTCCATGGTGGCAGGCACACTGCTAAACGGCTCCCCAAAGATGCCCAATCCTAATCCCAGAATCTGTGAATATAATGAGAGATCACTCCTGTGGTTATATTACGTTACATGGCACAGCTGTCCACAAATGGGGCCCTGTACTGGATTATCTGGGTGGGCCCAATGGAATCACAAGAGCCCTTGAAAGCAGAGAACTTGCCCTGGCTGGGTGGCTCAGCTGGTTGGAGCATTGTCTGTATGCCAAAAGGTCGAGGGTGTGATTCCTGGTCAGGGCACATGCCTAGGTTGCAGGTTCGACCCCTAGTCGGGGCACAAACTGGAGGCAGCCAATCAATGTTGCTCTCTCCCATTGATGTTTCTCACTCTCTCTCTCTCTCAAAAATCAATAAAAAATGCATATCCTTGGGTGAGGATTAAAAAAAAGGCAGAGTGGTGGAAGAGAAAGTGAGAAATTGGAGATACGAGGGGACCAGAGGGATTTGATAGAATTCTGCTGGCTTGAAGATGGGGAGGGTACACACAAGGAGGAATGTGTGCATCCGTAGGAGCTGAGGCTCCAGCTGGAGGCTGACAAGAACACTAAGACCTCAGTCCTACAACTGCAAGGAACTGCATTCTGCCAACAACCTAAATGAGCTGGGAAGAGGGTTCTTTCCCAGAAGCTCCAGATAAGTGTCCTGCCTGGCCAACAGCTTGACTCTGTCCATGGGATAACCTGAACACAGAGCCCAGTGACCCCTCTGGACTCCTGACTTACAGAACCATGATGTAACAAATGGGTGCTCATTTGTAATACAGCAATAACACAATTGCTCTTTACAGAGCACGAAACTGTGGCTCAGAGGGGTTGAGTGACTTGTCTACGGCCACAGAGCTAGCAGATAGCTAAGGAGGAACTAGAATCGAGGTCTTCTCCCTGCTAACTTTGTGATGATTGCCTTTCATACCACCTGAGACTCAGGAGGGAGGAGGCCTACACTGGGGAGACTGAGAGGAAGTGTGGGGAGGATGATGAATTCTTGGAAGTGGTACAGACCAGGGGAAGGCAGGGGACAGATGGGTGTGAACATCCCCCCGGAACAGTTGGCCGTCTGAGGCAGCCATCGGTAGGTGCAAGTTCCTCAGAGCAGGACTCAGCCCAGATCCAGAGGCTCTGGTTCCTGGTACTCACCCCCGCTGCTCTGTCTGTCCGTCTGCATGGAAGAGCACCAGCTGCCCCTTTCGGTCATGGCCCACAGCTGTTCTGGCTGATATTACATTCACAAATTTGCTGAAGGGACCTGAAAGAGAAGCAGCTGGGCTGATCAATGGCCCTTCGGGAGGCCTTCTAGGCTTGGTCTGTCCCTTCCTGCCAGTCCACGCCATCCAATGTTTCCCTGCCTCCCCACTGCCCCGCTGCAATCTCACATCGAAGCCAAAGGGCTCTTCTTAAGTGTAAACAAAGTAATGTCAGCCTCCAGGCGAAAACCCTCTATGGTTTCCACTGTTCTTAGAGTAGTACACAAACACCTTACCAAGGCCCAGCATGGCCATCCTGGCCTGTGCTCCTACCTCATCTCCTGGGGCTTCCCTCTCATCACCCTGCAGCCACTTTCTGATCCCTCCAGCTGGACTGCGCTTCTCCTCAGCTTTTCTCATAGCTTGCTCCTTCTGATGTAAGCTACCTCCGTGGGGCCATCTCTGACTGCTCAGTCTAAAGTAGCCCATTTCCACATTAGGGCCACGGTATCCCTCCTGACCCAGCATCCCACATCCCAGTGGTTTTCACACTTGAGTGTCCATCAAAATCACCCAAGGGCTTGTTAAAACACGAGCTTTGGCCTCAACCCCAGGGATTCTGATCCTGTAGGTTTGAGGGAGGCCTTAAGTTTTGCTTTTATAACAACCTCCTGAATGACAGACACTGTTGGTCCATGAATATTTTAGCAGCACTTGTCCATTTCCTTGCCCGTAGCTCCTTTCCTCCACCAAGCCTCTTCCTCCCAACTTTATTTTTCTTTCTTATCACTTACCACTTCTTTTTAGCAAATTATACATCTATTTTCTCTCATATATTGAGCAGGCACCTTATCTGTCTCAATCCCTGATCCCTAGTACATAGAATAGTACTTATTGAAAGATTTCCCCATGACTCCTCTGGTCCTGGTTCTCAGGAGCACTGTTGCCACCCCCACTCCACCTGTCTCCTGTGTCTCATCGCACTCAGCTGCCTGGCTCTCATTGATGTAGATGCTTCCATTTCGAATCAGCCACACGACCCCACTCAGCAGCTGCACAAATGGATTCTCAGTGTCCAGCACCTCCTCCTCAGACAGGTACCTGAACAAAGGGAAGGTGTGAGGTTCACTTAGCAGCATGGGCAGCTGTGGGCAGCTTCTCCACTCCAGCCCCAATAACCTGGCTGCTTGAATTCTCCTCCTGCTCCAGGAACCTGCCAGGTCCTAATCTGGAAAGCAGTCTTATAATCACTCTACAGAGTCCAGGCTACATGTCATTGAATAGAAACAACCTTTTTTTTTTTTTTTTAATCCTCATCCGAGGACATTTTTCCATTTTTTTGTACAGACAGAGTGGGAGGGAGAGAGAGGAAGAGAGAGAGAGGGAAACATCGATGTGAAAGGGACACATCGAGTGGCTGCCACCCGCACGACCAACCAGGGCCGGGGACAAACTGCAACCGAGGTACGTGCCCTTAGCGGGAACCGAACCCGGGCCTCTCCGGACCGCAGGCGGACGCTCTAACCGCTGAGCCAAACCGGCCAGGGCTGAATAGAAACAACCTTCGATTTCCCAGGCCATCATCATGGCCAAACTACCACTTGATATCTGTACAGCTCTTAACTGGCCTCCTTGCTTCTACTATGGCCCTCCAGTCTACTCTCCTGCCAGGGTCAGAGTAAGCTTTTAAATAATCAAAATCAGTCCTGTCATCCTCTGATACTCTGCTCCTTCCTTCAGTCCCTCGTACACACCAAGCCCCTATGCACTTCTGAGTCTTAGTTCTTGCTATGCCTTCTGACTGCAATGCTGTTCCTCCAGTTCTGACCCTGGCTGACTTGTGACTAATCTTCAGGCCTCAACTCAAAGGTCACCTTCTCAACAACTTTCCTAATCTCCTTCCCTAAAATCAACACTCTATTTACAATCAGTTCACCGTATTCATTGTTTCACGGCACATACACGATCTGAATTCATCGCAACCATCTCCTTGACTTTTGTTTATTTTTCCTAGTAATGGGAGAGATCCATGAAGGCAAAAGCTACACTGTGCTCTTTGTCGGCTATATATGTCCCCAGTACAGGGCACATTGCCTGACACAAGGCAAGCGCTCAGTGATAGTGGCTGACGACTACAAGGTGCAAGGAGGGTGTTCCTCGTCCCATTCTGCAGATGAGGACACGGAGGCTCGGCTTGGTTAGGGGAGTTGAACGTGACAGTACGGAGACAACCTAAACTGCAGGCCCTCTACCCACGACAGTCACGGGCCTCCCTGCCTCCTCACCCGGTGACCAGGGTGCCGTCGCGGCGGATCCCGAACTGCGCGTTCTGTATGCCGCCGGCGCTGCTCACCGGCCGCCCGTCGCTCACCACGTTCCCCAGGCACTCGCCGGTGTCCATGCGGAAAAAGCCGCCGTTCTGGGCGACGCTGCAGCCGGCCGCCCGCGCCGTCTCTTCCACGGTGGCGCGGCGCCTCGACGCGCAGCCGCCGGGCCCACCGGGCTCCAGCACCGAGAAGGTGCGCAGGGGCTCGCTGACCCGCGTCAGGTGGCCGCTCACGGCGCGGCCGGCGAAATGCGAAACGAAGGTGCGCACCGCGGGGCCGCGGGCGCCCGGGGTCGCGGGGGAAGGCGGCCAGCTCTCGTGCTCGCGGCTGCCGACGCGCACCCTCGCGCAGTCCCGGGCGGAGCGCGCGCGCTCGCGGGAGTAGGGCAGCAGCAAGTCGTCGTCCAGGGAGGCCCTGCGGGGTAGGGGCGGCCGTGACCCGGGGGACTGTGGCCGGGGCAGGGGGACCCCCGGACCTGGGTTACCCGCCACCATCCCCGGGAGCTGCACTCACCCCCAGCCGAAGCCGCCGGACGCCTCCCAGAGGAAGCTGAGCAGCATAAGGAAGAGAAACCAGCGACCCATGGAGGCCGCCATGTTGGACGCGGGCCTCGGGTCACGTGGGCTCGACCCACGTTACTCTAGTCTAGACCTCCGGAGGCGGCTTTCCGCTCTGACGCGTCGGCGCCTTCCCTGGGGTACGGCTGTGGCTGCATCTCGTCCGGTAATTGACTGTGCTGGTTTGGAAGGGGGCGTGGCCTTGGGGGGTGGCGGGAACTTCTAATGTTGATGTGATTTCAGCCCTACAGAAGTTGCCAGAGCAATGTAAAGAACTCCGGTATACGTTTATTTTTACCAATTGTTAATGTTTGCCACTTCCTGCCAGTACGTGTATTTTATTCATATGCATTTTTTCCTGAACCATTTGTAGCCAGGTTGCAGACATCATGATCTTTCACCTCCATAATTCGCTCTGTATCTTATACCAACAAGGACATTTTCTTGCGTGTCCACAGGCCAAGTAGATTCAGGACATTTCGAATTGGTAGAGTTCTATTAACAAATCCACAGTTCACATTCCGATTTTGTTAACTGTTCCTATAATGTCATATTAAAAAGAAACTAGAGGCCCAAAATGAAGTCATTTGTGCTAAGCCCCACATCACCAACTGGAGTCTTTTTTTTTTTTTTTATCCTCACTTGAGGACATTTTTCCATTTTTTATTCAGATAGAGCGGGAAGGAGAGAGAGGAAGAGAGAGAAACATCGATGTGAAAGGGACACATCGAGTGGCTGCCACCCACACGACTCAACCAGGGCCGGGGACAAACTGCAGCCAAGGTACATGCCCTTAGCGGGAACCGAACCCGGGTCTCTGTGGACCGCAGACTGACGCTCTAACCGCTGAGCCAAACTGGCCAGGGCCCAACTGGAGTCTTAATACCTAACCTACTTGCAATTTCAGACCCTATCTGGAAGGTAATCTTAACCTGTCATTCTGGATTTTCCTGGTCAGTACTACAGATGTGGTGTATGTAGACAAAAAAAGTAGTTCTATGGACAATAACCTCATTTGTGATCTGATCACAAATTCTTTTTTTTTTTTTTTTTTTATTGTTGAAGGTATTACAGATGTCCCCCTTTTCTCCCCATTGACCCCCTCCTTTCCGCTCCCACTCCCCCCTCCTGCCTTCCCCAGCTGAGTGTCTGTGTTGGTTGATTGGTTGTGCATATATGTATATAAGTTCTTTGGTTTATCTCTCCTCTCCCATCCCACCACCTATCCTTCTGAGGTTTGTCAGTCTGTTCCCTACTTCCATGATTCTGGATCTCTTTTGGTGGACAACTTATTTTGTTCATTATATTCCACAAATAAGTGAGATCATGTGGTACTTGTCTTTCTCTGACTGGCTTATTTTGCTTAGCATAATACTCTCCAGGTCCTTCCATGTCATCTCAAAGGGTAAGAGATCTCTCTTTCTTACAGTTGCATTGTATTCCATTGTGTAAATGTACCACACATTTTTATCCACTCATCTATTGATGGGCACTTTGGCTGTTTCCAGATCTTAGCTATTGTAAATAGTGCTGCTATGAACACAGGTGTTTCAGACTTCTTAGGATATATTCCAAGAAGTGGGATCACTGGGTCAAATGGCAGTTCCATTTTTAATTTTTTGAGGAAACACCATGTTGTTTTCCATAGTGGCTGCACCAGTCTTCATTCCCATCAGCAGTGTGCTAGGGTACCCTTTTCTCCACATCCTCGCCAGCATTTGTTGTTTGAGGATTTGCTGATGGCTGCCATTCTGGCAGGTGTGAGGAGATATCTCATAATTGTTTTAATTTGCATCTCTGATGATTAGAGATGAGCATTTTTTCATATATCTCCTAGCCTTTTGTATATCCTGTTTGGAGAAGTGTCTATTCAGGATCTCTGTCCATTTTTTAATTAGATTGTTTGTCTTCCTTTTGTTGAGGTTTGTATGAGTACTCGGTATATTTTGGATAGTAACCCCTTATCTGATGTATCATTGGCAAATATGTTCTCCCAGAGAGTGGATTCCCTTTTCATTTTGATGCTGGTTTCTTTTGCTGTGCAGAAGGTTCTTAGTTTGATGTAGTCCCATGTGTTCATCTTTTCCTTTGTTTCTCTTGCCCTAGGTGATGTATCAATAAAAATTCCACTACATATGATGTCTGAGATTTTTTGCCTACATTTTCTTCTAGGATTTTTATGGATTCATGAGTCATATTTAAGTCTTCTATCCGTTTTGAGCTTATTCTTGTGTATGGTGTAAGTTGGTGGTGTAGTTTCATTTTTTTTTGCATATAGCTGCCCAGTTTTCCTAGCACCATTTATTGGACAGACTGTCTTTTCTCCATTGTATGCTCTTACCTCCTTGGTAGAATATTAATTGTCCATACTGTCTTGGATTGATATCTGGGTTCTCTGTTCCGTTCCATTGATCTCTGTCTGCTTTTGTGCCAGTACGAGGCTGTTTTGATTACGATGGTTTTATAGTATAACTTGATATCTGGTACTGTGATCCCTTCTACTTTGTCTTCTTTTTCAAAATTGCTATGGCTATTTAGGGTCTTTTATGGTTCCATGCAAACTTTTGGAGTGTTTGTTCTAGATTTGTGAAATATGTCAATGGTACTTTAATAGGGATTGCATTGAGTCTGTAGATTGCTTTGGGTAGTATGGACATTTTAATGATGTTGATTTTTCCGATCCATGAACGTGGTTTACATTTCCACTTTTATATATCTTTTCTATTTCTTTTTTCAATGTCCTGTAGTTTTCTGAGAATAGGTCTTTTACCTCTTTGGTTAAGTTTATTCCTAGGTATTTGTTGTTGTTGTTTTTGTTGCAATGGTAAATGGAATTGTTTTTTTTGTTTCCCTTTCTGAGTGTTCATTATTGGTGTATAAGAATGCCATCAATTTTTGGATGTTAATTTGTATCCTGCTCTTTGACAAAGTTATTTATTAAATCCAGTAGATTTTGGATGGAGTTTTTAGGGTTTTCTCATGTCATCAGCATAGTGACAGTTTCACTTTCTCCTTTCCGATTTGGAACCCTTTAATTTTTTCTTCTTGTTTTAATTGCTGTAGCTAAGACTTCCAGTACTATGTTAAATAAGAGTGGTGAAAGTGGGCGTCCCTCTCTTGTTCCTGTTCTTAAGGAAAATGCTTTTAGTTTTTGCCCAAGAGTATGATGTTGGCTGTAGGATTTTCATATATGGCCTTTATTATGTCGAGATATGATCCATCTATTCCCACACTGCTGAGGGATTTTATCAGAAATGGGTGCTGGATTTTGTCAAATGCTTTTTTTTTTAGCATCTATTGATATGATCATATGGTTTTTATTTTTTATTTATTTATTTTTGTTTTGTTTTTTTATCCTCACCGAGGACATTTTTCCATTTTTTGTTCAGATAGAGTAGGAAGGAAAGAGAGGAAGAAAGAGAGAGAGAAACATCGATGTGAAAGGGACACATCGAGTGGCTGCCACCAGCACGACCAACCAGGGCCAGGGACAAACTTCAACCGAGGTATGCGCCCTTAGCGGGAACTGAACCTGGGTCTCTCTGGACCACAGGCCGACGCTCTAACCGCTGAGCCAAACCGGCCAAGGCCCTTCTTGAATTTTTTGGAATAGTTTGAGGAGAATGGGTGTTAGTTCTTCTTTGAATGTTCGGTAAAACTCCCCCATGAAGCCATCCAGGCCTGGGCCTATGTTTGCTGGGAATTTATTGATTACATCTTCAGTTTCCTTAGTTGTTATTGGTCTGTTCAAGTGTTCTGTCTCTTCTATGTTCAGTTTTGGGAGACTGTATGATTTTAGAAATTCATCCATTTCACCCAGATTGGCCAGTTTGTTAACGTATAATTGTTCATATTTTTTTAACAATCTTTTGTATTTCTGTGGTGTCAGTTGTTATTTCTCCTCTTTCGTTTCTGATTTTGTTTATTTGGGTCCTCTCTCGCTGTATCTTGGTGAGTCTGACTAAGGGTCATCTGCCTTGTTTATCTTTCCAAAGAACCAGCTCTTTGTTTCATTGATCTTTTGAATTGATTTGTTTTAGTCTCTATGTTATTTATTTCTGCTCTGACCTTTACTATTTCTTTCCTTCTACTTTCTTTGGGTTTTTCTTTTTGTTTACTTTTTAGTTCTTTAAGCTTTAGGGTTAGATAGTTGATTAGAAATTTTTCTTGTTTCTTGAGATAGGCCTGTAGTGCTATGAACTTTGTTCTCAGGACTGCTTTTGCTGGCGTCCCATAGATTTTTGTGTTGTTGTGTGTTCATTTTCATTGGTTTCCAGGAATTTTTTTTATTTCTTCCTGATCTCCTTGGTAACCCACTCATTGTTTAATAACATGCTATTTAGCCTCCATGTGTCTGAATGTTTTTGAGTGTTTTTATTGTAATTCTAGTTTCATGCCATTGTGATCTGAGAATATACTCGATATGATATAAATCTTCTTGAACTTGTAGAGACTTAGTTTGTGTCCTAACATGTGGTCTGTCTTTGAGAATGTCCTAGGTGTACTTGAAAATAATATGAATTCTGCAGTTTTGGGGTAAAATTCTCTGTAGATATCTATTAAATCCATTTGCTCTAGTGCATCATTTAGAGTCTCTGTTTCCTTGTTAAATTTTTTTTTTTTTAATCCTCACCTGAGGACATTCTTCCATTTTTTGGTTCAGATAGAGTGGGGAGAGAGAGAGAGAGAGAGAGAGAGAGAGAGAGAGAGAGAGAAGCATTGATGTGAAAGGGACACATCGAGTGGCTGCCACCTGCACGACCAACCAGGGCTGGGGACAAACTGCAACCGAGGTATGCACCCTTAGTGGGAACCAAACCCGGGGGTCTCTGGACCGCAGGCCTATGCTCTAACCGCTGAGCCAAACTGGCCAGGGCTCCTTGTTAATTTTTTGTCTAGAGGATCTATCCAGTGATGTTAGCAGATGTTGAAGTCTCCTGCTATGATTGTATTGCTGTCGATTTTTCCTTTGATGTCTTCCAGAAGTATTAAAATATATTTTGGTGCTCCTATATTGGGTGCATATATCTTTACCAAGGTTATAT